TATTCGGATGTACTGTAGGAACTGTAGTTAACTTATCTGTTGGCTGGTGTTGCGCGTGTCGGGTGGTGGCCGCGTTAGATGCATTTTTGGGTGCTTAGATAATCGTTGTGCTTATCTAAGCGACACGGACCCGTCAGTCTAGTGGGAGCCTGGATGTGCGCGTAGTGGGCGCCGAGAGGCAGCTACGGATTACGTAAAGAGCGCGATGCACCCCTGCGGCGCTCCGCCCCGCCTATCCCACTCCCGCAGGCTGAGCGCCAAGAATTCCCGGAACGGAGCAACGACGACGACAGGCACTGACCAGCAACAACCAGTATTAACCAGCAACAAACATTGCTGGACTTGAGGGTATTCTCCTTGCAAGGTCATAATGGTGAGTTTCAATCAGAGAGAGAGCAGCTCTCAGGGTAATGCGGTAAAGCAATGGATCCCAGCTGACCTCCTGTTCCTGTTACTTGCAGTCGCAATCACTCCGCCCCTACCTACAGGCTGTCCGGAGTAGCTTGACCGCCGCGCTCTGCCTCTCCAACTTCGCGTCGCAAACCGCCGAGCGGCACAATGTCCCCGAGGTCGAAGCCCGGACATCACCCGAAGTCTTGCTGACGCCTTTGACGATCGCCCGCAATGAGAACGAGCGTGTGCTCATCGAGCCCAGCATCAACAGCATACGGATCAGCATCAAGATCAAGCAGGCCGACGAGATCGAGCATATCCTGGTCCATAAATTCACTCGCTTCTTGACCCAGCGTGCCGAGTCCTTCTTCATACTCCGGAGGAAGCCCATCAAGGTTGGAAAGGCCACCCGCGCATTGCTCTTGACCGAGGCTGACAGATCTGGTTCAGGGATACGATATTTCGTTCCTGATTACGAATTTCCATACAGAGGAGATGCTGAAGCACAAGCTTGTCGACTTTATCATTCAATTTATGGAGGAGGTGGACAAGGAGATCTCCGAGATGAAACTATTTGTATGCCATCCGGCTGCGTTCTCCCTCGTGGCGCCGACTGACAACCAGACAACAGTTGAATGCACGGGCCCGGTTTGTAGCAGAATCCTTCCTGACTCCCGTAAGACTCCAGCCTCGATTTAAATGCCCGTTTATTGCTCTCTGTTAACCTGACTGTAGTTCGATTGAGGATGGAAGTATCAAGAAACAACGAGAATACGATGTCTGCTTCCAGCTTCTGGGAGGTGTGCTCTACGATGTGCATGAACTGTCCTCAGATCCCAAGCATTGCGCTCGGCGTTCTGGTTGAGGTACTCTCGGCGCAATTAAGAGAGGCTTGCGACTGTCCATTGTTCGAGGTTGAGGCGCCATGGCCTCGTCTCGCCAAGTTCAGAAGCGCACCCAAAAACAACAGGAGATATTCCAAGATCTTGATCTCGCGCATCGCTTGAGCTGCCGCTTGTTGCTCCGACAGACTGTCCCCCCCGAACTGCTCTTCTGCTGCGCAATTGGGGCTCCTTCTCTGCGCCGTTGACCGCCCGACACGACAGCAACTCATTCAAGGTCATGGTTCCGCAACTCTTGAAGTCTTTGGCCGTGGTGTCGTTCCTCAACCACAGGGCCGCATGATGCACGACTGCTGCCGACATACACATCGTGTTGGACTAAAATGCTAATGCAGGCAATGTGACCCGGTGAGGCTACCAAGCCGTGATTTCGCTCGACTCGACTTACCGACCCTCGCCATGGCCGTATAATCCTCCGAGTCGGCCATGTCACGGTGACCTTGAGCCTACTTGAACCAGACGTCTTGCTTTTATTATCTCTCCTCCGGACTCCCAATACGTAAGGTCTCTTGTTTGGTGATGGCTTCCCCAGGCTTGATCCTCAGAATCCTGTTGTATTCTGCCAGTTGCCACGAGCCCACGATGTCACGGATTCTTGATTTCCAATTCCACCGGGTTTGCTTGCGCGCGACTCCGCTACGCGGAACGCGTTGGCTCTCCTCTCAGTAAGCCTCCGCGCTCTGAAGCGAAGTAATATCTAGTATAACATCAGTGCCGGTTTTTGATTCGCTCTACATGGCATGTATTCTTTTCCCGGGGAGCAGAAGTCTGAGGCAATCACCGCCCAGAAGCAGGGCAAAATTTTTTCCTTTCCAGCACATCGACATCAAGTAGAGGCGGTCGTCGTCCCATTTCCTTCTCAAAGTTGCGTTCATATTCGGTTCAGTTCCGTCTGACATGGCTAAAGCTTGTGGATATGCTTCCCATCGACGCTTGACATCCTCGATTTCCACTGAGGGAACCGTCTCCTCTCTTTATTGCCCACGACGAGTGCATCCTGGTGACTCCATGTTTGTTCTTTCGCCATCGCCTCTTATCTTTCCGTTGCGAGACTGCTTCAAGTGTATTTAACCCAATACAATTCACCTCTGGTTCCTTTTCCCAACCATCTTACCTGCATTCACGCGTCACACTTCGAGCCTCCTTGACTCTATTGTGCAAGTCTTCACACTATTCAATCCACAACAACAATAGGACATCCTCCTGCAATCTCTATCGGAACACAATTACACTACTTCCCCTCACACTTGCTATCATCCCCGGCATCGAGTTGACTCACTCGCACTCGGGCACCGAGACTTCATCTCAAACCATCATCAACAGTCTTTCCCAAGGACCATCATTTCCAACCAACATCGCACCACTTCCACTCCTCTCCATCTTCAGCACCCGCGAAGCTCGTATCTGCTCAGTTCAGCCATACGGTTATCACAAGCCGTCCTTGCTTAGGGTAAGCTTTACGTTCCTATGTCCCTCCGCTGTTCTTTTGCCTCTTCCGCGACCAACTCGACTTTCTTTTGTGGGCAACAACCGTCTTGGTTGTTGCCGTTCATTCCACGTCTTACTTTGTACTCGGCATATCTCGACAGCCTCGGTCTTGCTCTGGGTTGATCTGCTACTCTGGGTTTTCGGTCAAGGCGAGCATTATTTCCATTTCTTCACACAACTGCGCAGCACCTGGGAGCTCACCACCGTCCGTCTCCTGGCTCTCGCTTCCACGCATTCGTTATCTTCGTCTCTTCATCCCAACAGGCGCAGAGAACTCACTCTGGGACTCTATCCCACAGTCTTCTTGCCCCATCCTTTCCTCCTGACATCCATTTCCAACCTCTCTTCCGTTCTTGGTGCTTTACTTTTTTCCTCACGCTCTTCCACGCACTCTTCCATAGCTTCTTCCGACTGTCATCCACACTTCCCGTTCAGCTCTGCTCGACGCTCTTATCCGCACTCTGTCACATCGTTTTCTATACTTTTCTCCCCATACTTCATCTGACACTCCCTTCTGCTTTTTCCTTTCACCAGGCACTCTTCCATAGCTTCTTTTAAACTCTCCTCCTCTTCCAATTCTTCCCGAACCACTCCATCTTCAACACTTCACGCCAACACACCACCTCTCTTCCTTTGCTTCATCACCCAGTCACTTCTTCGCTGGCACCGAGGTTAGAAATTATCACATATCTCGCGCGCATTTCAATTGAGAAGCAGTCGATTTGATCGGCGATATGTGGAACACGCACTCGTACTCTCCACGTCAGGCTTATTTTTTATTTTATTTTATTTTTTTTTTTTTTTGCATTGCATTCTTATTGAGATACTTGTTCGCCTGAATGGCAATTGACTGACTTCCAAACGATTTAGATTCAGGTTTTCCTCACTCGTGGCCGGTCCCGCCATCCAGGATGGCTACCCCAGCTAAGAAATACGACAGGTTGGTCGCTGAGACCTCGTCGACCATGCGCAACAGCCCGACGGCCAGATACTCCAAGAGTCGCTTTGCCGCCTTCATGGAACCCAACGACCAGGACGATAACGACGACAATGGTGGTGGCGTCATGCTTCGTGACTTTGAGGACGACAGCTATACCAGCGGTTCTGCTTCTACTGCGATGGGCACGAACAGCAGCTGCTCGTCTGGAAACGGTCGCGATACCGATTCTCACAAGAAGCCTGCCACACCGTCTCTGGCTTCCTCGGCTTCCTCTGGCAAGTCGACCATGTCAGATCATCGCAACACGATTGCGCCTATTGGTACCGGTCGCTATCTCAATTCCGAGTACACCAAGAATGGCAATGGTGGAGTGTCGCTGAACCCTTCAGTTGACCCCTGGGTATGTGTTGATCGTGTCGCCATTTTCACTATTTGGTGTGAGTACAGCCACAACGGCTAACTCTTTCGCCTGGAAGAACGCGAAGACCACAGTCAATGAAACCCACGAGAAAGACGAATCGGTCAACCAAGTCGGCAACCTGGCAGCAAAGAATGCCTTCCAGAACAAGGCCGAAATGACGGTACTGATGATGGACCCCCAGTCACGCATGAGAACCATGGGCGGCGGGATTAACACGCCACAGTCGAACTTCTATTCGCAGACGAGCCCGGCTCAGCAGACCACGCGGCTTGGTTACACCCAAAGCTTGAACGCAGCAGTGAACATGAACACCCCGAACGTTCGTGCCGCCATGAAGTATCCCCAGTCTGGCAATATGGGTTATCCTTGGGCCTCTACGCCTGTGACATACAATTCTGCTGGCATGATCTACAACACCCCCCAGACCGCTGGCTATGGTGGCACTCAGGAGAGCCAGGGAACCGCGCTGGGCGCGAACTTCCCGTTTGTCAACCCGGACACTACTCCATCTCATATGCCGAAGAAGGGAGGCCAGAACCAGATGACGACTCCCCAGTCAGCATCCATCTACAGCCAGTACAACCAGACGGAGCCTCGCAACTTTGCCCCTCGCACTGGCGCTGTGCCGGCCTCCATCCCCCCTCCGGCCTTCAACCTGGGGCGCCCGGCTGTCACCAAGAAGCTCGAGGATTCTCAATTTAGGGTCCAGGAGTCGGACCCCTTCATGTCGCCCCCTCCCAAAGGTACCGACGTTCATGCCATCTCTCAAGCGCTTGTCCTCCAATCGGTCCCGGAGAACAATCAGCTCGCCTTGGCTCCTTACACAGGTCTCCATAGCCAGGTTCCCCCTGAGATCCGCGCCGTCCGCTCCGCACAGCTCAACAAGCTCACTGAAGGCCCCATGGGTTTACCCACTCAAGACATGGCTCTGAATCCCCAGAACTTCCCCTTCATGGAGAGTACGATCCAAGCTGCGCCTGTCGGATACGGTGTCGTCAAGATCAAAAACGTGAGTCCAACCTTTTGGCCCTTACCGGTGATGGCTCTGGCTGATTCAGATTTCTCCAGATCCCCTTTGGCACCAAGCGCGCTGAGATCATTGCTTTCCTCGGCCGGAACTCCAAGATCCTCAATGACAACCAGGAGCCGGTGCACATCATCATGGAGCGCGTTTCGTCCAAGACTCAGGACTGCTATGTCGAGTTCATGACCACCCAGGACGCTGTGAGGGCGGTGGATCGACACCGTGACAATTTGACGAAGGGACGTCCTTCGCGTCTCGGCGAGCGCCCTGTCGAGGTGCTGCTGTCGAGCCAGGCAGCGCTCATGCAGGATTTGTTTCCACTCGCTTCCGGCGTCTGGTGGAATGGCGGGAAGCCTGTCATTCAGGCGCCGGTTGACGGCCAACCGTGGAAGACGTTCAAGGGCTTCGTTACCGAGGAGGAGATGACCATGCTAGTCAAACACGTCGAGATTCCCCAGCGCGTAAGTTTACAGTTTCCATTGTTCCTTCCAACGAGAGATAGGACTCACAAAGCGCTGACAATGCATCGATTTACAGTCCCCTTACTCCAAGGAGTGTCCTCAGCGCCCGTACGAGTGCATGATCTCCACCATCAAGAAGCTGCCCTGGTACGTGGCAGATCGCATCACGCTCCGCCAGCGTCATGCCATCTACGAGGCCACCGTCAAGCTCATCGGCCTCCTTAAACAGGCTCTGCAGCGCGACAATCGCCCCTACGAGACCACCATCAACCAGCAGCTCATGAAGCGTCTGGTGACCGCCGCCATGCTCTGCCCGGGCTTCTCGGTCGTGCAAAAGGATAACATCGCCGTGCTCGCTGAGATGGAGCAGGACCGCACCCTCATGTTCAACCAACCTCGCTTCGCCGAGCAGTGGGTGCACCTGCATGGCATCTGCCCCAAGCCGGGCATCCCCATCGACGTGCTCGAGTGGTACATTGCCGTCATCCGTGAGGAGACAACGCGCTACGTTCAGAGCAAGCACATTGTCGAGCGCAACGAGATCCAGCGCACCAGCGCCTACACGTCGCTCTACTTTGGCTACATCTGGTACGAGCTTGGCCTGCCGACTGGAAAGGAGCTCGATAACCTCAGCCTGCACGAGGTGGCGCGCCGTGAGCTGGCTATCATTGAGCGCGCCCTCCGCCGCGTGCTCCCCGATGTTTCCTCCAGCGAGGCCTAGCTGAATTGAGCCACACCGGAAAAAAGAAAAAGAAGAGCTGCATTACTTCCGGGCCTTTTCTCTTTTTTGTTTTGTGCTTCCGAGGCAGCCGCAATCCCAAGTTATCGCAATCCCATCGTTCATGGAAGTCTGTCATGAGGAATCTAACCTGATTCCCTGGCGATGAACTTCCTTATTCTTGACTTCGCGTACCAGCCGCGACCCCATATTACCGCGATCTGACTTGATGATCTCATCTTTTTCCAGCCACGGGTTAGGATCTCAACTTGAAAACCATCTCGGCATCTGGACATTGACGCGATCCCAAGTCAAATAAGACCGGTTCATCTCATTACCAGAGCTTGCTGAACAACCCCTCACAAGCAATGAGTGGCGTGCGATACCCCTTTCGTCTTGTCTTTTCTTTCAATACACGGATCTCATATATCGGTTTCCCTTTTTGATCACTGGCTCACGGCATGGGCGCGGGCAGGACTGCTTTTGGGGTCTTGTCGTCCTCTCGACACCTCGCACTGCGAAGACCAACTGACGTACCCGGTAATCACCAGACAGCTGTGGCTCCTTCTGAGTCTTCTCAGTTTGTCCGGAGGGTCACCTTCCATGTGGTCTGCATCGGGTTTGGCATTGGAGAGCAGTCACTGTGGCTGTCGGGAACGAAAGCACAAAAGTTGATTATCCAGGTTGACCATCTTTGATGGCTCGTTGTGGGGACATCAGGAACAGGCGACTCGACCGCCAGCACCGAATGGATTGACTTTTCGCATGATTGGGGGGTTTTGGGCTGGTAATTAGCGGTCAAGGGATTCTCGATATTTCCTAGGTTCTCTCGTACTAGAACATAATTAGTGCACCATTCCCAACCTGCACTGTGTTGTGGATGAACTTGTGATTGTTAACATGATTTGCTGTGATCTGTGTCTCCACGTCGTTCTTACTCGTAAGTGGTTTAGCATGGTTAATTTGGTAGGGTTAAGGTTGGGAGTGGCTCAGAGTCTTGATGCCTGGCCTGGTTGCACCCCTTTTTGCAGCTTTGCCCCTTTTTCAGTCAATAACGCTCCATATGTCTTGGCATTTTGGACGTAAAAACACGGGATGATTCCAACGAGTCCTGCCTCACCCATCAAACATCATTGACCGTTTCGCCAGGAAAACATTCATGTTCAGATCAATCCATACCTCTTGGTCATACGCACCTCCAAGCCTCACCATAGCGCGCACCTCGGAGACCGCAAGAGGCCAAACGCCCAATGTCATGTGGAAATGACTTTGCGGATGCAACCTGGTTGAGAGAATGTCCGAGCAGGTCCGTGCATAGGACTTTATCGCCTGTGGCTTGGGCCGAAGGCGCTAATGCTATGACGTCTGCCGCTCCCGAAGATTAGCCGATCTCTAGACGCGATCTGCTCAGAAGCAGAATGTTCGCGCTTATTGCTTATCGCGATTCTCGATGTCAAAATCCGTGACAGCTTTCCTATCGTGACATTTGTTGCCAACTTTGAACGACGATGCCGACCGTCTAGTTGGAATCCAAGAGTGGTAACGGCGGAATTATTTCTCTACTCGAATCTTCGCTAATATTCGAGTCTCGACTGATTGAAGCATTCACCGAAGTACCCGGGAAGCGGTCATGGCCTCAGCCTCTGTCGCCAGGTCGACAATGCCTGGTGGCCACGAGAAGAGCACATCGCACGGCGATGCCCCTCTCACCCAGTCGCGCGAGACTGGTGATGTCAACCCCGAGTCGCGCCAAGGCGGCGCCATAGTCAACCAGGCCAAACCGACATCGTTCGCAAGATCATGGAATCACATGGTTGCAGGAGGGTAAGCTCGCACATCTGGCTGGAAAGAACGGCGACGGGCCGCCATCGTGCTGACATTCAATCTTGCTGTCTCTAGGATTGGCGGCATGACGGCCGCGACTCTGACTGCGCCGCTCGATGTCCTCAAGACGAGGCTGCAGTCCGACTTCTATCAAGCGCAGATCAAAGCTTCACGAGCCTCCATCACGGCTCCCATGAACCCCCTCCGAACCGTCGCATTTCACTTCGGCGAGACCATGTCCATTCTCGGCACCGTATACCGCCAGGAAGGCCCTCGGGCTCTCTTCAAGGGGCTTGGCCCGAACCTGGTCGGCGTCATTCCAGCCCGCTCCATCAACTTCTACACCTACGGCAATGGCAAACGCATCATCAGCGACTACCTCAACAACGGCAAGGACTCGGCCTGGGTACACCTGAGCGCCGCCGCACTGGCCGGTGTTGTCACCAGCACAGCGACAAACCCAATCTGGATGGTCAAGACTCGCCTGCAGCTTGATAAGAACATGGCCGAGCGCGGGGCTGTCGTCAAGCGCAGGTACAAGAACAGCTTGGACTGCATCCGGCAGGTACTGCGCGATGAGGGGATTCGCGGCCTGTACAAGGGAATGAGCGCCAGTTACTTGGGCGTGGCCGAGTCGACCATGCACTGGATGCTGTACGAGCAGATCAAGAGGTCGCTGGTGAGAAGGGAGGAGCGCCTCGCTCTCAGCGGCCGGCCAAAGAATTGGTGGGATCACACGGTTGACTGGACGGGCAAGTTTGGTGCCGCGGGCTTCGCCAAGTTGATTGCGGCGGTCATAACCTATCCCCATGAGGTAAGCTGCACATCGATCCGTTTCCTGTCGCATTGAGACAATCCGCTAACCCGACGCAGGTCGCCCGCACCCGCCTTCGGCAAGCTCCTATGGCCGACGGCCGGCCGAAATATACCGGCCTCGTACAATGTTTCAAGTTGGTGTTCAAGGAAGAGGGTATGCTCGGCCTTTACGGCGGCATGACGCCTCATCTGCTCCGGACAGTTCCTAGCGCGGCCATTATGTTCGGCATGTACGAAGGCATCCTCCGACTCCTCAACACGCCAGCGTGAACCGTCTCGTCGAATGCCAGCATTCAGTACCGTATCGCCTCGGCACTGTGACCGCAGAGCCCGACGCGACTGTACACCGCCATGTTCGAATACCACCTACCTATTAATCCATCGAAAAGCTGGCTTGGGACAGGCTAGGCTTGTCTACGCACTGCCACATAGCGCGGAGTTGCACCGTTGGCCCGTCTCACAAGCGGCCACCGTGCCCCCGTCTCTTCAGCATAACACCTCTTGTTGATTGCCGACAGATACCCTGCTGTCTTGTACTACCATCTACAACCTCATCTATAGAGAAAAGCGGAATCATAGAACGGACCTGGTTGACTGGGACGGCATTTGGCATACTGTATATATCTCTGCCTTTTTTTTCGCATTTGTAGGGGCATTGGCGTTCTCGGGGACTGGGAGATCAGCGGGATTTGAAAGACGAAACGGGGTTGTCAAGACCATGATTCATGGGGAAGGGGAATGTGCCGTTCTGGTCGCTTAGCATTTCCTGGAAGAGGGGCTGCACTGTAAGCTTTGCTGTGGGAAAAGGACGCTGCGTCAAGGGCTGCGGCTGCGGCCAGGAACGATGATGAGGCAATGGACTTGGCCTCCTCTTTGGCATCGCAACCGCATGCTGGATATATGGGTGGATGGCTCTCCTCTCCAGCCACATCAATCGAGGGGTTCATCAGACCCAACTGGACAATTCCGTTCCATGACTTGTGCGTCGCTAACCCGTCCTTCGCAGGACCGTAGGCCTCGATCGCAATTACTTTACTAATCAATAGCGATGTGATATCTTATGCTAAAACCATGGAGAAGCTGGAATATCAGCAGCAGAAGAGGAAAAAGCGGAAAAGACCAATCTCATGCGAGCTGCCTCCCAGTGCATTCATCCACCGAGCCCTCATCCTGCCAGAATGTGATGAACACTCAGATTGTACACCGTTCCTTGCACAACCATTTCTTTCAGCCAGCCATGAATAACGGTGAAGCCTTCGATCCGTCTCAAGATGACCATGTACTCTGCCATCCATGATTCATTCCCATCGAATCGTTCCAAAACACCATGCTACCGCCAGCTATTCGGGCCATCATCACCATGGCCCAGCTTGTGCGCTTCCAGCCATCCTCTGGGAGGCCGTTTCCGCAATTTCCTCGGTTGTCGCGCATGGCCCACGTCCCCTCTCTCGCTTCTGCCACCGAAAAAGGGAAACCTCCACCTCGACGGGGTTGTAATAAGGGGAGGAGAGCCCCCGCGACACAGAGGCGACGATGCTGCTCGAGCCTCCTAGTCTGGAGCGCGTCACCAGGCGTTGCGGTCCCAATTGGGATCTGTGGATCGTTAACCGCACCGTCAGCCTCTGGTACCCCCTTTCCCTGCTTTCCAATCTATGTGCAGAGATTTTGTACCGATTGTAGCGGGCATCCCGGGTGGAATAAAAGAGAAAGAAAAGAGAGGAGGCATTTACTCACCCTGCACAAAAGCAGCCAGCACCTTACTCCCCGTCTGCAGCAGCGGATGGCCTACAACAATCTTCAAGAACTTCTCGAGCCCCGCCCGGCGGCCCTCGATGACGTCGTCGCTGAACCGGTTCGTAAACACCTTGCCGGGAAGCGGCGGGATCGTGACGCGGGCGCTCTCGCGTTCGAGTATGTCGCGGAAGTACTCAAAGTCCGAGTACCGCCGCCGCACCACCGACTGCCGCAGCTTGAAGGCGGGTATGTTGGTGCGGCAGACAATCTCGTAGTCGGTGTACATGTGCCGGCCGATGCCGTGCGTTCGTGGGTTGCGCACCTCAATCTCTAAGAAATTTTCGGGCGGGCCGTAGATCTCGTCAAACGACTGCGGCCTCGTTTCTGGCAGCGACTGCAGAATGGGTCGGTGGAGGCGGGCGGCGGCCGCGGCGGCCGCGGCCGATGAGGTTGATGAGGTTGAAGAGGTCGGCGATGCCTTCGGCGGCGAGCTGGTACCGGTGTTGGCTGGCGCTGTAGAGTTCGTGTCATCGGCTTGGGATGCCATGTTGATGGCTAATCTGTATGTTCGGCGGGGAAATTCAAGCCGCCTCGGCTTCTTGCGCTCGATGGGGTTGTTCTCGATTCGCCGGCGCGTGGCACGTTGTGCGCTGTCCTCGACGGAGTTCTGAGCAGCCTGGAATGTTATGGGTCACTTGATTGTCGAATGGAAGACAAGGTGGTGATGATGTTGAGGTGTTGTGGCGTGTCATACCTCCGTCCTGCTTGATAACTAAAGCCAAGCTCTCGGATGATGACAAGGTGGGGTAATTCTATCCAGGTATCCATCTTCTAGAACATCGCAGCAGTCCGCACGCCATGACCACATTCGCCACGGACCGTGGCTTGAATACGAGTTCACCGTCACGTAAGTGTACGCATCAGATCGCTATTGTGTCCTGTTCAGCAGAAGTCGATTAGTTGGCATTCCTACCATTCCCCCAGAATGCATCTGATTGTATTTCCACACCGCTTCCCTACTTACTCGTACATACCTACCAATCCCGCTCCGTGCCGCCAAATCCCCGTCTCGTGTGCCCTCTCGCAAGGATCATTCCCTTTGGAAAAGCCGCCGGGATGCCGGTTGGTACTGAGCCTTGCAAACTGCCGACAAAAGAACATCTTTCACCTTGGTCTCGAAACCCGCAACAATCCTTTCGGAAATGCTAAACCGCCGTACTTCAGAGACAGTCCGTGAAGATGTGCCCAAGTTCCATCCCGGCGCTGGGCAACCTTTCCGCTGACAGAACTGGTGCAAGAGATCCATCACTCCATATCAGTGAGATGCTCACTTCTTGTCAGCATACTTTTGGTGAATTGCCCGGATCTGCTCATCCAGGTTGGAGGTCTGCAGCTGGTTCAGGTGAGCCTGGCTCTTGCCGTCGGGGTTGCCGTCAAACGCATGTAGAGCAACCTTTTTCCTACGGGCCAGCTCCTCTTCGGAGACGGGCTGGCCTGTGGTGGTGTCAAACACGTCGCTTCGTTGGCTAGCCAGGCGCTTAAGGTTGTTGGCCACGTCTACCGTAGAGAGGTTGGTGGTGGCATATCTAGCGTCTGCCTTGGCCTTCTGTTCTTTCCACCGTGGATCAAGCAATTCGACTGCCCTGCGTTAACACACGCACTCTCCAGAAACAAAAGGCGCCGCACGGAAAACTTACTTCTCATATGCTCGTCCATCTCATTGAGCGGGATTTGTTGCTTGCAATTGGGGCACATGGCTGTCTGCGTGCCAAACTTGCTCGCCGCTCGTTGTGCCGCGCGCGGGACATAGTTCTCCTTGATTTTCATCGGGGGCACGCCGCCGCGGGCTTCGGCCTGCGCTTGCTGCATGCGCAACCGTTCCTGCTCCTTCTCCTGTGCCCTCTGCGCCTCTGCCTCCTCTTCTGCTGCTCTTGAGCGCGAGGCAAGTGGCACTGGAGCAGCAGGTGACTGCGCTATAGGCCCATTCGCGACTGGGTAGGCGGGTGCAGTTGGCGGTGGTTGTGAAGTCGGAGCCTGCACACCATATGTTTGTGGAGGATAGGCGTTGTAAGTGGTCTCCTCGAAGGGAAAGGCTTCCTCGATACGGAGTGTGGAACTGACAGAAACCTTGTTCTTCTCCTCTAGCGAGGCGTATTGGAGATCGTTGAGCGTCGTCGGGGGCGGAAGATTTGCCTGGTCGTCGGCCTCGGTGAAGACGATGGTCTCAACCACGACAAAGTCGTTCCAGTCGATCCGCGCGAACTCGATCTTTTTCTTCTCTTCCTCCTCTTCCTGCTTGGCCTTTTCGGCCTCCTGCCACTTTGCGTATGCCGCCCTCTGCTTTGCGCGGGCCAGAACCTTAAATTTGTCTGCAACGTTCTGGCGCAACTGGTCGACACGCTCTTGCTGCGCCTTGCCTCCTTCGCCATTGACGCCGCTCTCGCGTAGCAGAATCGAGTATTGATCGACCATGCTCTGGAAGAAGTTGTGAAATGTGTGGTTGGGTATCAGGAACTGGAACTGGGGGTTGCTTGCCTCACGCTGAGCAAGCTGTGTCATGTAGGGACGCCCGTTCTTTGCGACGAACAAGGCAGTTAGTCGCACAATCTCCAAGTCTTTCTGGCTCATTCGAGGCATACGGGCTGAGAATTGGAAATCGGGCGGCTTCGGAGGCCCCGCGGGCTTTTCCTGTGCGGGGGCGACTGCCTCCCCGACACGACCAGCTGCGACCGCTGTCCCCCTCCCGGCCTTGATTTCCTGCTTGCGCCATTCGTAGTAGGCGTTGTATGGGTCGGAGCTCGACATCAAGAAGCTGAACTTGGGATTCTTTCCGTGATTGTCGCGAATGCGCTGCTCGAGCCCGGCGCCGCCGCGCATCACATAACCGGCCGTCTTTTCGATCGCCTCGCGAATCTCGCCGGGCGGTGGGATGATGACGCCCGGGGGCGGCTTGAGATCAAGGAGGGCGGCCGCGGCATCTGCAGCCGCAGCGCCGTTTGTTGTCGGAACAGCCATGGTGAATGGGATAGTTGCGATGACGGCGGTCGACTCGATGCCGTATCGTGGTTATTGATGGTTGCGACTCGGAAGAGCCTGGTCGAAGTTGTTGACGGTTTAAGGGTGACCCGCTTTTGATCGCGTGGTTCTCAAACAGCATTCACAGCTGGCACTGAAATTACCAAGGTTCCTGTACGCAATGATCCGGGTGGCTGTAATCCTCCGTGTACCCCTCATCTTGTTGCTGGTCGACTTTGAGACAGCGCACTACACACCGAATAGAGTATTGGCTTGATCTGTTCATCTATCTAACTAACCATCCACAATACCCCAACTTGACTCCAGTTGATGAGTGTAATACTCTGTAAGTTCCCTTTCTCTCCGAGTAAAAGTTACAGCCTGCACATGCAAGGAAAACTGTTCGTATCGAGGAGTCTTGGTAATTAGGCCAAGGCTGGTCGGTGCCAAGCTCTGGGTCACCCAATCGTCGCGTAAGGTTGCTCGAGTGGTCCCACAAGGTACCGCCGTTGAAAACGGGCAGGCGTTAAGGCCACTTCAGCTCAATCAATTTATGGGATGCTGACGCTGCACCTTCAACTGCAACCCCCTTTCCGCACACCTCAGCTATCCCCGGGGCTGAAGCCAGGACGACGACATTTCTCGTCCCTTTTTTTTGACCTGACTGTTCTTCTTCTGCGGTTGTCGATTGAACCTTTTGCCAGTTTTGTTTTGCAATCCAATGATAACCTTGTAATTGAAGCTTGACCCTTCTCGACTCTCGTTAATCCACCGTTTTATGATCGACAAGCAGCCTTTGGCTGACTGCAATTCCGACCGCGACGCCGACCCGACGCACGCTTTGAGCTCTGCCAAACGTCTCGAAACCAAACAAAGCGATTCCGCATCTCGCTTCGACGATTACACCCCGGATCGCCTACAATGGCTCGGTCCGCGAGCTCCAAGCCGCCGGTCGCGCGGCCATCTCCCCCGCCGCAGGTACCGGCTCCGAGCCAAAAGCCCAAGTCGAAAGCGATGAAGCGCAAGGACGATTACTCGTCTGAAGGCGTCGAGGACAATGATGTTTTTCTGCTGCCGGGTTCCGATTTCCAACTGGTCCTTGTTATCACCGTGCTGGCCGCCGCTGTGCGCCTGTTCCGCATATCCCAGCCCACGAGCGTCGTCTTCGATGAAGTCCAGTACGTATTCTGAGAGTTACCCTTCCTTGAAAATCCCAAGGCTGACAACTCAACAGCTTCGGCGGCTTCGCCTCCAAGTACATTAAAGGCCGTTTCTTCATGGACGTTCACCCCCCGCTCGCGAAGCTCTTGATCACGCTTTTCGGCTGGGTGGCTGGATTTGACGGAAATTTTGACTTCAAGGAAATCGGCAAGGACTATCTAGAGCCTGGCGTTCCCTATGTAGCCATGCGCATGTTCCCCGCCATCTGCGGCATCCTTCTCGCCCCGGCTATGTTCTTGACCCTCAAGGCTGCCGGTTGCCGCACTTCCACTGCCACAATGGGTGCTGGTCTCATTATCTTTGGTCAGTCACACCGCCCTCAGACGTTACCCCGAAACCCTGTGTTAACACTTCCGCAGAGAATGGACTCCTCACTCAGGCGCGCCTGATCCTCCTCGATTCCCCCTTGATGATCGCCACCGGCTTCACCGCCCTTGCCTTCACCTGTTTTACTAATCAGCAAGAGCTTGGGCCCTCTCGAGCCTTTGGCCTCAGCTGGTGGTTCTGGCTTGTCATGACTGGTCTTGGTCTCGGCATAACTGTCAGCATCAAATGGGTTGGTTTGTTCACCATCGCTTGGGTTGGTGCCTTGACCCTGGTTCAGCTCTGGGTTCTGTGGGGCGACTACAAAAACGTCACAATTGTGCGTCTTACCCTTATCTTCTCATGGTGCTTGATATTAGGCTAATGCTTGAGCAGCGCATCTTTGCCAAGCACTTCATAGCCCGCATCTTCTGTCTCATCATCATCCCCCTGACCTTCTACATGGCCATGTTTGGAATCCACTTCCTCTGCCTTGTCAACCCTGGCGACGGCGACGGCTTCATGAGCTCCGAGTTCCAGTCGACTCTCAATTCCAAGGGCATGCAGAACGTCCCCGCCGATGTCCTCATGGGTAGCAGGGTCACGATCAGGCACGTCAACACTCAGGGTGGTTATCTCCACTCGCACCCCCTGATGTATCCTACAGGATCCAAGCAGCAGCAGGTCACCCTTTATCCCCACAAGGATGATAACAACCTGTGGCTCCTCGAGAACCAGACTCAGCCGCTCGATATGCACGGCGAGCCTATCAACGGCACCAACGCTTGGTACAACCTTCCCGAGCTTCCTTATATTGAGAACGGTGCCGTAATCCGGCTCTACCATCTCCCCACTCACCGCCGCCTTCACTCCCACGATGTTCGCCCGCCCGTCACCGAGGCTGATTGGCAGAACGAAGTCTCTGCCTACGGGTATGAGGGCTTTGACGGGGATGCGAACGACTTCTTCCGCGTCGAGATTGTCAAGAAGAAGTCCAAGGCGGGCGTTGCGCAGGAACGTCTCCGCACCATCGACACCAAGTTCAGGCTCGTCCATGTCATGACGGGCTGTGTGCTGTTTTCCCACAAGGTCAAACTCCCTGAATGGGCCTCTGAGCAGCAAGAAGTCACCTGCGCCCGGGGTGGCACTCTCCCCAACAGTCTGTGGTACATCGAGTCGAACGACCACCCTAAGCTGGGCCCGAATGCTGAGACGGTCAATTATGCCAACCCCGGCTTCTTTGGCAAATTCTGGGAACTGCAGAAGGTCATGTGGAAGACGAATGCGGGGCTCGTCGAGTCCCATGCCTGGGATTCTCGCCCGCCTTCGTGGCCTATCCTCCGGCGCGGTATCAACTTCTGGGGCAGGGACCACCGCCAGATTTACCTGATCGGCAACCCCGTCATCTGGTGGAGCGCTACCGCAGCCATCCTACTCTATGTCCTGTTCAAGGGCATCGCTGTTCTCCGCTGGCAGCGCAGTTGCGATGACTACTCGATCCCCGTCTTCAAGCGGTTCGATTACGAGATTGGCACTTCGGTGCTTGGTTGGGCTCTTCACTACTTCCCCTTCTATCTCATGCAGCGCCAGCTCTTCCTCCACCACTACTTCCCCGCCCTTTACTTTGCGATCATGGCCTTCTGCCAGATTTACGACTTTGTTACGGCACGCATCCCAGGCATTGGTCTAAGGGAACACCCCATCGTCAACAAGGCTGGCGCTGTTACTTTCCTTGTCCTGTCGATGGTTGCCTTTACTCTGCTTTCTCCTCTCGCGTACGGAAACCCCTGGACCAAGGCCGAGTGCAACCGTGTCAAACTCTTCAACACTTGGGATTGGGATTGCAATACTTTCTTGGACAGCGTAAGTGGTTTTCTTGATGGTGTGATTCCAGAGAGGAAGCTGCCCAAGAGGGCATAATCATGGAACGATTATGGTTCCCCAGGGCGGTGGACTTCGGGTCAGGGGTCGGAACAAAACGAGATTATGTGTTATGATTACGACCATAGCGATTTATGGATACGCGCGGGAGATTGAACGGGCGGGAGGTTTATATCAATGCTAACATCTTGTCTGCCTGCACAGTATGACGCCTACAACACCGTGCCATCCATCCTGGCGGCCGCGCAGACCCCTCAGCAGTCAGCCAACGCCCAGCAACCCCCTGTAGCAGGCGGACAGCAAGGCCAAGTCCCCATCGCGAATGTTCAGCAGCCGGGGGTCTCGGGCGCGCCCCTGGCACCGAACCAGCGGCTGGTCCACACCGAGGAGCGCGTCGAGTACCGCGACCAGGACGGCAACCTCCTGAACGAGGAGCAGGTCAAGGCCCTCGAGGGCAAGGTTGAGTTCAAGACGCGCTATGAGACGCGCACTCGGGTCGTTGACGCCGACGGTAACGAGGTGCTGCTGCCCGCGGGCGAGCAGCTGCCGGAACAGCAGGCGGAGCAGGCTGCTCCAGTGGGCGTCGCACCGCCGCATCCTGATGTTGAGGGTACGTTTTAATGATTCCATATCCGCTTTAGGTGTCTTTGGGGAGGGTAATCGCTCATGTTCATCGCGCTCTAGGTGCCAACAGCGAGACGCCCAAGCGGGTTGTCCCCGACGAAGAGATCCCCGAGCCCAAGCAGAGCGTCGAGGGCGAGAAGGAGCGCGAGGGCAAGGCGGCCAAGCCGGCCAGTGAGAAGAACGAAGCCAGCGCCAAGGTGGATGAACTCTGAGGAATGGTGTGATAAAGGGTGAGGGTGTAGGATTAATCACGGTGGAAGGTGTCCTTCGGCGTGTACTCCAGCTATCTCCTGTTGTACCATCTCAGTGAGTGTTTTCCCCTGGGTATCTAATGAACTGGGAAGGTGGGATAAGAGGGTGGGAAAAGCATTTTGACTGGCTTGGTAAGAAGGGAGAGATGGTTTGCGTTGATCTCGTTTGTCAAGTCGGACCGTGGGGGTAAGAGAGATGCTGCTGCATGTGCAAGCAGTGGGTGTTGAAGCCGGTATCCACGACTCTACATCAACAGTGAGGGACACACCTGGTCCTGTTTCCTTGGTATCTCATCTCTGAATAAATGGATCTGATCATTTCTTTTCCGGTTTGACAATCTGTGCAAGGGGACCTCCTCTTCCTTAACATACAGGTCAAAAGCAAACCAAAGCAAACTCCAAGTACTCCGTAAGTCATCCCTCCCACCTTACCCTACCCAAGCACCCTGGTATTTGGAACTGCCCTATTGGAATCCATCTTAAAACCGACCATCTAAGGCCCTCTCTTAGCCTCTCTTATTCAGTACACTGACCATCCTTTCTACTAGTTTACACAATAGGAGAACAAGTCAGCACGGGTCTCCTCTAAACGTACTGATGTCTTGCCACGACATACGGAAAGAAAGAATCACAGCTCGATCGAGAAACCCAAGTCAGAAAACGAAAACTCGGAATCTCTGTCGAAATCGGAATCCTCCGAATTGTCGTCGTCCGAGTCCGAGTCAAAGTCAAACTTGGAAACCAGCGGAGAGGAGGAGGACTCCAGAACATCGCATGATGCCGCCGCCGCTTGCTGCTGCTGCTGCTGAGGCTGCTGAGGCTGCTGCTGCTGCTGCTGAGGCTGCTGCTGAATCTGGCCTGTGACGGTGGCTCTGGCTGTGGCTGTGGCTGCGCGCCGCGCATCTTCTTCCATCAGCATCATCATCGGCACGGACACGGGGTGAGGCGGGCCGGGGAAACCCGGGGGTGGTGCGATCGAGCCCCGCCGCCGCCGACTGCAGTTGTGCCAGGGTGTCGTCGCCGTTGGCGGGGCGGCGGGAGCAGCTGTGGGCACAGCCGGGAGTCCATAGCTGGGCGGTGGTCCAATTCCGCCCCAGTGGCCGGAGGAGGGGCCCCAGGGTGTCGTCGTGGTCATCTCAGCAGCTCCGGGGACAGCAGCAGCAAAGCCGCGCAGCGGCGGTGGGATCATCGTTCCCTGAGGAGGCTGGAAGCGGTTGCTGCTGTTGTTACGCTGCTGGCCGCCGCCACCGCGCTCGGTGAAGGGGTAGCGGCTGTCGGTGGTGGGAGGAGCAGCCGTGTACGCGGCGCTGGTGGTGTTGGTGGGACCGCCTGCGACGCTGGCTAGCGCGCGGAGGGCGAAACCCAAGCCGTTGCCGCTGCCGTCACTACGGTTGTTGTTGTTGTTGTTGTTGGTGTTGTTGGTGTTGTTGGTGTTGGCCGTGGCGGAACTCCCGGAAGACGTGATGGACGGAAGGACCACGCTGAGCTGGCGCAGACGGGAGTAGACTCCTGCGTCGAGGGCGCCGGGGAGAGGACGCGTGTGGGAAGCCGGCCAGGAGTGGCTGCGTTCGCGGGAGAGCGCGAGCTGGCTTGGTCCGTCTGGGAGTCTCGCGCCTGTGGTGGCGGTGGTGGCTCCATTGTGCGAATGGCCTGCGGTGGCGGGAACGGCGGGTGCCTGCTGGGCGGCGTGGGTAATTTCCTGGCCGGGCTTGCTGCCACTGCCGTTGATGGGGTCTGTGTTGAGAGCGCTGCGGAGCGGTTCTAACGGCGGGACCTGGCCGCTGGGAGTGAGGTCGTCTGTGTAACGACTGACGTGTGGTTCCGCGAGTGAGAGGGGGTCCGGCTCTTGAAGCGCCATCTCCAGGAGCTCATCTCGCCCAGTGAGCGGGGAGAATGTCTGGTTCCACAGATGCTAGTCAGCCTAGAGCTCGTTGAGCACCGAAACGGCGGCGGATCTTGCGTCGTACAGGGCTGGAATATTCTTGAGCTGGACCCATGGGCCTCACATTGCATTGCGTGGCCAGATACGCCTCTAGGGCCCTGTCGAACTGGGAGGACAGGTCATCTGGCTGGGCGGCTTGCCAGCTAAGACAGGGCATGTCTGCCTCAAAGTACAGCCTGTCACCCATCTTGTTACCCATGATGGACGGTTGTGCCGCTGTCTTCCAGGTTGTCTTTGGGTTCCAATGTGCCGGTTTAAGGGACTTGAGGTAGCACGGGAGACTTAGGAAGAGCCTGCCCGAGCTCTTGAGGTGGTGCTTATATCCCCCCAAACGGCTCACTGCTGTTGGCCCCGAGCTAGGGTCCCTCGACTAACAGTAAAGGTAACCCTTTTGCCACGAGAGTCAAGCACGTCCATTGGGTTAGGGGGTTAGGGACGGAGCCTGGCCCAGCAACGGTGGGGTGGAGGTAGGGAAAAGGAGACAAGAGCACAGATAGCCCCGCATGCGCTTATGCTCTATCGAGTCATTTCCACCCAGCCAACATCGACTTTCGTGATGTCCGTGTGCTGGGAGAAGGGAGGTTCAGTCCGAGGGAGATAATCGGCTAAGGATGACCATCATTCATTAGTATATACAGCACACAGTTTCCATGTCCATCAGTTATCCTAGCTAGCTTTGCTTCTTGCTGTTACAGGGCTTCGCGATCTGTCACTGAGTGGTTTGGCCTCGACAGAACAGGAAAGGGCCGCCACTTGGGAAGGAAGTCCAGCACCCCAGGCATCGGTAATAAGCTTCCCCAGATCGCCCCGGGAGCCAAGTCCAGGCCAAGCAGCCCACAACCAGCCGGACCTCTGCCGGCGGGCCGTTGTAACCCGGCACCGAGCCCCGCGAGTCCCATTGAGCACAGGACAGCCATCGCTCATCAGGCCCAACCTAGTGGCATCTTGGGAGACTGGCACGTATGGACATGGCATCCCGGCCTCCGTCAACGTCCTACAAGAGACATCTCATCTAAAAGGCTCGCGTCTTGAAACCCTAGCGAGGGGCCAGATGAAGGCACGGGGTTGGTCTAGTCATGTCCCTTTGAACCGATTCGGTCATGGTGAGTTCAGTTCGTTTGCCCACCTCGGCAATGCGAGGGCACATGTGAATGATCCCAGTGATGCTCTTGGTGGCCTCTTACTGTGGTAAGGCGATGATGGTTGGCCTGGTCTGACGTTCCTCTGGCCCAGGAGCCAGGAAGTTGAGGTCAAAGCGAGCTGAGAAATCAAGAGTTGTGGATAAGGTACCCTGGGTCTAGTCCGGGCCGTGTGCGGTGCTTGACTCGTGAACGAGAGATAAGCTATGCTCCAAATTGTCCGACAGGGCTGAGACGACGTAACGCTTGAAGCAATGGAATGTTAACTGCGCAGCGAGACACAGAGTTCAAAGCGAAGATTGGCTGCTAAAGACTCAGCTCGACTCGTCGGCTTACCCGTAATTCGACAGTGACGCCTTGGACTGGTCTTTTTGCAAACGGGATTGGTAAATAATGGGTTATCAGAAGAGAGTACCTTACACTGACATCCTGGAAGTCGACGAAACGCCCCGTTGCTGCGTATCGGTCCGGTGGCTTTGACCTTCCAGGATGACCCGACCGGCTACGGGCCATCAAAGATCGTGTCACTATGAAGGAAGAGTGAGCAAATGTATCCGGCACTACGCGTCAATGTCAGGATCTGCCCCGGAAGACTCGGGGACAGCATGTCAGCTAAAAGTAGTTGTAAAGTTGCTTGGCAGACCATCTCTCACTTTGGGGTTGTAGCTTGACATAGTTAAAGCTAGTGAAATACAGTGGCGCGGGTCATGTCCGGAGTGGAGGCTCGCACACCAATGACACCTCCTTACAGGATTCTGTGGCATCTCAGGCCGAGCTTTCCAGGTCACGGGTATCACAGTATTACACCGACCCCCCAAGAGGAAGGAGAACAGCCTGAGACTCTGGGAGCAGTGCTCTATTATGGCTTACGAACAAGGGAAGAGCGAAGAGAATATTTCGGATGGACTCGGCACTGTTTGTTTGAATCTCTAAGACCCTGGTTATGCGGGAAATCGCAGATTGGAGGCCGGCAAACTTTCTTGACAGAGTCTCGTTTACAATCGTTACCTGCCTCTGTAGTCTCTATGACTGGCCGCAGACAGGAAGTATTCCAAAGTTTGCCTTGGTATTTCACGCTAAAACAACATCCGGACACACCTGAATAAGCTGGCTACAGTAGGTACTGTAAATCTTGAGTTGCCATCAACTCAACAGGAACTGCAAGACAGAACCAGCCTTGTCAGCCAATCACTTCCCTTCCCAGACACCTGATTGCACACGTCACAGTGCATCGATCATTCGGATACAGTCATGCATTGTCATCTTTTTCCTTTTCTGTGCTGTCACGGTTTTCTTGAGGGCATGGAAATCCCGGCAGCGAGTTGGCCATTCAAACAACCGGCTTAGCTTCAATGGGACAAAGAGAAGCCACCCGAATATCCATTACTTCTACTATAGCTTGGACCTTAATCCAAAATCAAGACATAGCTCGTTGTTGTTAGATGATTGTAGTGGCACTATTACTGAGGGGTCAACATTGGAGCCACAACTAACACCACATTTCCTAATTGGGTAGCGGATGCTCGCAACTGAGACTGGGAAGACGCTGCAGCGGTGCGGTTCATGACTCGGGCCCGCGCGGGGAAGGCCACTGCCAGATTAATAATCTACACCGGTTCCCGTCTCCAAAGCTGAATTGCCAATGGATCTTAACTGCCACCTCGTGTATCGTACGTCCACACGAAGAGGCCAACGCCGGGATCATGAATGGCCGCCGGGTAAGATCCGAATTTTAGCTCCGTGTAAAGCCTTCAACAACCGATCCTCGTCCCCGGTGCGCTCGGCAGATCTGACAGATCGGGCTCGTTCAAGTTGGACATGGCCTGGACTGTGATTGAAACCCTGGTCGTCGCGCAGGTTGATAACAACTGCCCATGAGAAATCTGTGGATATATTGTTGATATTGACTGGCTGCAACGCCTTGAAGCCGACCATCTGAGGGATATAATCCCAGATGAACTCACCCAGGTCGCAATCTTCTAGTGATCGATCAGCGGTCTCGTCCCGGCCTTCCAAGCGCCTGCGAGTTGTCACACTGTCGCCTGTCTCAAAACAAGAAACCTGGGGGAAAAGGGCCCAAAAAAGGAATATTGGTAAAGTTAGTGAGGCGTAAAATCCACTCTTTGGAGTTAGATCGGTCCAACCAAGCAGAGGAAGAAGATCAGTTGGGTCTTGCCATCCGTTGATAAGTGCATTTGGCTGAATCAGAAAGTGGAACTACGAATGATTACGGTGCGGAAAATCGGTCGGAACGGAAAACTCGGACCACCGACGGCTTCCATATTGCAGCACAGAGGTGTTCTCACAACGGGCAATCGCCATGGCCGTGCCCTTGCCGACACGCCCAAAAGGAACCACTGCAGAACTCGGACGTCAATGCCATTCATTGATGCATTCAAAATGTCTGTTCGACTTTCTTTGAAATCGGCTTACTTGCGTATCCAAGAAAACCGTAGCGCGCAGCGTACGTGGAGATCCAATAAACGCTGCACGATCCTGGTCTGTGTCCAGCACTTTGCCTATCACGGAGCCCAACACGGTCTGCCCCTTGTTACTCTCCGCTCTCGAATCCTCGATGGCTGCAGGTTACCAAGTCAGCCAAGGCCCAAACAATCGCTTGTGCTCTCGCTCGTATCCTCGCATACGCACCCCGTAATCGCCGGTGCCTCTTCCTCCGGCCCTCAACTTGCACCCTACGCCGTAACGGCACTTTCGCATTCGACGCTGCGCTCGGCACTGTCGTCTCTACCACCGCCTGTAACCCTACAACAATCGATTCCATGTAACTGCTGAATCGACAACGCATGTCCTCAATCACCACTCCGACTCTTTCGACAGAACCCAACTTGGTGTCTTGCTCAACGCATCAGAACGCGCCTCCTTCACGCAGCCCGCTCAAACCGCCCAACTCCAAAATTCCAGAGACGGAGCGACTGCGAAAGGTTTTCTGTTTGCGTCAAGACCCGCCAGGCTTTGGCATGGTCCGGCCACAAACTCGTCAAGATGGATTACCCGTACGTGCACGTCGTCTTTGCTCTTTGCTACAGTACCCAAATACCAATTTCGCGCTGCTCGTCATTGGGACCCAGTGGTAACTGTATTGGTCGGAGCTGAAGCCCGCGCGGGCAGTCGCGCCATTGAATCCCAGAAACTGGAAAGCGTCACATGGCAATTGCTAACAGAAGTGGCAAAGGATGGTTGCCATGGCCGGCTGGTCACCTCACCAGTCTCCAACTAATTCCCGCTCCGCCTTCGGCCACCATCGATCACTGTCCAGCATCCTGAGGTCTGCCTCCCCAAAGCCTTCGTCAACCCACACCAGGTCCAACTCCACGACCGAGCTGTCCATGACCGCCGACATCGCTCGTTCTCGCCCGACGACCCCACAGCCCAAGAGATTCTTCATCCGTGCCTCGCTCGACGATGACAATGACTTGAGCACAATACCCGATCCCAGGAGCAGGGCCATGAGTCCCGCCAGCGAAGAAACTATGGCCACACCACACCACCCGGACCTCGACGACGAAGTTGCCGCCCTCAGCACGAAGCTCATCAATGCCATCAACCACCAGACGACCTTGGACGACAACCTCTCGGCGGCTCGGTTGGAACTGGAGAAGGCTCGCGACAGGATACATCAGCTCGAAGCTCAGGTGGCAGAGCAGAGCGCAGTACTCGCCGGCGATGAGTGGGTGAGGCGAAGGGTACTTGAGGCCGAGAAGTCAAAACTCTTGGCCAACGTCGCCGAGGAGAAGCGAGCGAGGTTCGACATGGAACAGCAGAAAAAGAAGATTGAGCAAGAGCTCGAGAACCTGACAACCGCCCTCTTCGAGGAAGCGAACAAGATGGTCATCTCGGCAAAGGAGGAGGCACGCGCAGAGCAAGAAGCCTTGCAACGCAGGAATGACCAGTTGAGAGCCCAGCTCGCCGACACGGAGGGTCTTCTCCGGTCTCATCAAGAGCAGCTGGTTGAGCTCAAGCATGTCATGGAGCAGATGACCGTCGAAAGGGAGGAACAATTACCGCCGACTCTCCCTTCGTCTCCAGGGGTTGAAAGCTTCGATCCTCGGGACGCTGCGGGTTCCTCGGCTGTAATGCGCCACCATAACCTCTCTGCGCCGCTGTCTCCGTCGTATCCCACCAGCTTCACGCATCTCCTGCATCCCGTTCTACGGACCGACTTGGCGGCATGCAACGATTTCAAGGAGCTTCTGCGCACCACAAAGAGGCTCTCAGCGCCTCCGCTCCCTTCTGGGTCTTCTGGCTCTGGGCTGGCATCCCTAGCTATCGGCCTCGGCTCGGCCACCTCACATGCGCCGGCAGGTACTGGGTCAACCTCTTCTCTCGCCACCTCCACGACCCCCCCCCCGACGTCACCGCAGACACCCAACACGCCAGCGTCGTCTGGCAGCAGTGGCTCGTCTGCCACGATTCCAGTCCCCCATCCGCATCTCAAGGAGACAAAGTTCTACAAGCGAGTGCTCACCGAGGACATTGAACCCACCCTTAGACTCGACACGGCGCCCGGGCTCTCCTGGCTTGCCCGTCGCAGTGTGCTGACCGCCATGACCGAGGGGTCCTTAGTCGTCGAGCCAACTCCGTCCACAGCCACGGGTAGGTTTGGCAGAGTGATCAAGCCGGAGCTCCACCCATGCTCTCTCTGCGGCGAAGCCCGCAAGGACGAAGAGCACCTTCGGACCCACCGCTTCCGCATCAGCGAGGCCGACACCACCCAGGTTGGGTACCCGCTCTGCAGGTACTGTCTCGGCCGGGTCCGGTCGACGTGCGAGTTCCTCGGCTTCCTCCGCATCGTCAAGGACGGCCACTGGCGGGCCGACGACGAGGACGCCGAGAAAGCCGCCTGGGAAGAGAGCGTCCGCCTACGCGAGCAGATGTTTTGGAGCCGCATCGGCGGCGGCGTCGTGCCTGCAGGCCACGGCCGTCACCCGTCTAGTTCGAGCGTCGCGCCCAGCCTCCGGGCGGACAAGAGCCCGAGGCCGAGCCATGAGGGTTCGCCCCTGGCCCCTGGGTCAAAGCGCCCATCCGAGCTTTTCAACGCGTCGGAGAAGCAACATCCGGAGCGAGTTGCCGAAACGACTTCGGAGCAATTGGCCGGAACGACCTCGCAGCACATTGCCGAAACGACCTCAGAGCCTGTTGCTGGAACGATTCCGCAACAAGTTGCCGAAACAACTGGGCAGCCGAGGGCCAAGGGTGTGGATGAAGCTCTCGCTGACGAGCCCGTGGCTGAGGAGATATTCACGATTCCTGGCGTTGAAAGCTCCGTCGATCAAGCACCCGATGCGATATCCACCGGAGAATTGGAGACGCCGAATCAGATCCCGGGTGCTTTTCCCTGACGAATTCAACTTGAAAAGAAAGACCAGAACGTTGTTTGGGGTCATACCCTACCGCTTCAACAATACCACTACAAGACTCATACACTGTATCCATAGTACCAATTCACATCTTGTGTTGCCCGTCAACACGGGTCAACCGGTTCGTGATAGATGAGCATACATTTGGGCGTTTTCATGGTTGGGGTTTGAACCAAGGCACTTTTCTCTCGCTGAATCGGGGAACAGCGTTCTTATCAAAGTATGGCGTTCTGGAAGGTTGGGTGGGTAGGACTAGGGCGTGGAGCATCTAGACTCGTTTGTCTTTGGAAACGGCGGACTGAGTGCTAATAATGTGTATTAATGACGATCAAGAATCGAGATGACTTGACGGTTGGTTAAGTGATGATTACTCGAGTTCTTTGAAAGTCATCTGGGTCGGATCAATGTTCCTTGACTTCTTTATGTGGAAACGGCTTGAGTCTCTTCTTCGTCGGCATATGCCTCTAGCTCGCCCGCAGTGGACTTTTGCCACCCTGGAGACGAGAGGGAGAAGAGGAGCAAATATAAGGTAGCTGATAGCAAGATGACGTTTGGTCGTGACCACAATACCGTTCTCGCCTTCACATCATCTCATGAAATTAATTTAGAATAGCCAAAAATAATAGGAGTACGTATTAGGACGCAGAGAACCGGTTATACTTCGACTGTTGTTGTGGAGGATACCGTGGTCTTGCTATCAACATCAACGACAGAACAAGTTGCCCGTGGGTATGGGCGAGCCTACTACAACAGACAACAGCAGAGCAACAGAGGGAAAAGACTCGAGTATCTGCCGAGTAACTGCAAAATGAGATGGCCAAGAAGAGGTTCAAAGAAAGCAAGCAAAGTAAAGAAAGTATTTGATGGAAGGGCACCGAGGAGGCACAAACAAACCGAATCGACCCAAAGATATGACTGCCTGCTCAATCGCTTCGCTTCGCTCAGAGAAGGCCAGAATCCAAGAAACGAAACAAGATTTGCGAAGAATATGTGCTTCAAGAACAAAAACCAAAACAATAAATAACCAAAAGTAGATCATTCATTCCAATCCTCAAAACCTCCCTCCCCATACGGATTCCACTCCTGTCCCGGATAACTCGTGGCACTCATCTGCGGCACCGGATCCTCCTCCCTCTTCTTCCCCCCACCACTCATGCTGTCAAACTCCTCTTGAGAAAATACGGGGATCTTCTCTTCCAGCACACGCCGTATCTCGGCCTCGCGCTGCTCTTCGGCCTTCTTCTTGGCCCGCTCAAAGATGGCGACGCTGTCCTTGGCCGCTTCCGTTGCGTTCACAGCAGTAGGGCTGGCGGCTGTGCTGCTCGAGTTGGCCTGCTGCACTGTCGCGATGGACGCGTCTTGGATCACCGGGGATTCCATGTCGGAGTCGAAGTCTAAGTCATCGTCGTGATCCCCTTGGTCGTCGTGGCGGTCGGCGTCCGGGGCGGATGATGCGGAGTGCGCTGGCGGCTCCGGTGGGGAGGGTAACACGGTTGGTTGTTGTTGTGAAGGCCGGGTGACTTCGTGCGAGGGGCCCGCGGACTTGGGTCCGACTTGGCCGTTGATGACGATAGTGGCGTTAGCGACGTCGCTGCCGCGGGAATGGGTTTGCTGCTGGGTGAAATGCTGATGAACAACGTCACTCTGCTGCGGCTGCGGCTGTGGCTGGAACTGTGCCTGGGCTTGCTGGTGTTGCTGCTTCTGCTGCTGCTCGGCAGGGAACTGCGACTGACGCGGCGTCGCGTCGTAGATATTGTCATCCGCAACACGCTGGATCGGTGTCGTCAACTTGTCGGCGACCGGCGAGAGACCGCGAGCAGACGGCTCGGGGCTCACGGCTCCCGAGTCTCGACCCACGTCGGCATTCGCCTGCGCCGGGGGAATCGGACTGACTGTCCATCCCGGCGTGGGCTGCGGTCTTGGGGACGCGTTAGCAGGGAGGGGGGTCAAGCTGGTTGCAGTCGTCGAAGCGGCGTCGGAAGCCGGGGACTGCATGCGCCCGGGCCGCTGCGACGGGAGCGATGCGATGCCATCCTCGCTCACATTCCTACCATGGAGCAGCTGCCTCGTTTCTGATGTGATGGGCGGATTTGGCGAGCGATAAGACTGCGCAGGAGCCGTGTACTGAGCTTGGGGTGGCGGAGAAACGCTGTTCTCTTGGATACGCGAGCGAGCCGGCTCCACCCGGGGCTGGGCTTGTTCCTCAGGTGGCGAGATGCTGGGCTCAAAGCCCTGTGGGGCGGGTGTTGAGGTAGATGATTGAGGTGAAACCTCATCAGGACGAGTGACAGCGGTTGCCAGCGCCGGCTGGGGTTGCTGGACCGCCTGGACATCGGCCGGAGAAGAGCTCCGCTCGCCCTTCTCAGCATCACCTACGTGTCCCTGCTTAGCAGAGTCCGCAGCTTGGGGAGCAGGAGTCTGGGACATGGGACTCGAAGCAACCTGGGAGGTCAACGCCGTCTGAGGCCCATTGGCTGGTTGGAGCACGGGCGGCTGAGCAACTACACCAGCAGGAGCACCTTGGGCAACCGGAGCACCAGGTTGGACCCACTGCTGATGGGGGAAACCCGGTTGCACGACTGGCCCGGCGGGCAGACCGGAGCCAACGAAGATATGCGCCGGAGCAGGAGCCACTCGCCCTTCGCCGTGAACATACCCATACCCAGCCGGAATCGGGACTTGGTCATACTTGGGTTCCTGCACTGGCGGACGGATTTGTTCGCGAGGGTGCTGGCTGATGGGGACACCGATCATGGGGTGGGGCTGTCCCTGCACCTGAAGCTGAGCGGCAGCAGGAACGCCCTGTTGAGGATTCGATTGCTGGGCCATCATACCGGGACGCGGGCCTAGTCCTTGCTGTTGCTGATGCTGCTGATGCTGCTGATGCTGCTGATGCTGCTGATGCTGCTGATGCTGCTGATGCTGCTGATGCTGCTGATGCTGCTCATGCTGCTGAGACTTGGGCTGGGATTTCGCGCCAAATGAGCCCATTCCCACAGGGGGTTGATCCTGAGGGGGCCGGCCGGGGGCAATCTGGCTTGCAGGCCCCAAGTCAGACTGTTTACGCTTGAATGCGTTCATGAGCGAAGGCTTGGAGCTTTTCTCTTTCTCGGCCTTTTGTGCAGGTGCTACCGGGGTCGAGGACTTGCCACCGAACAACAGCTTGGAGAATGTGCTCTGGTCCTTCTCCTTCTCCTTCGCTGGAGCGTTCATCGGGACGCCGTTCGGACGGGTGGTGCCCGGTGTAAACTGTTGGCGGAACTGAGGGACCGCAGCTTCGGGCTGATGCGCCGTCCAGGGGCCTTGGCCAGCAGGATATCCTTGCCCGGCTCCTTGTTGGCCCGGCCTGAAGCCAAATTGATTCGCAATCTGACCCGGAGGCATCTGAAACGGCCTGGAGGCTTCCACCGAGTGTCCAGGTGTCGAGCCCGGAGGCGAAGCCGATGGCGGAGCATTTTGTCCTGGCGAAGCAGTTGTGGGTGACTGACGCGAGGGCGCCCTGGTTTCCACGCTTGGCATTCGAGCGCCTGTAGCCGGCGCCATGCGTTCTATCTGCTCGCCCGGAATACCGGAGAGAGGGATCTGAGCATGCGACACAGGGGAAACTGGTCGCTGAACACCGACATCTCCGGAGTCAGTACCCTGTGCCGCAGATCGATCAGTTGCAGAAATAGACGGTGGCTGAATTTTCTGAGAGATAGCTTGCTCAGCGGGAGTCGGAGCGGCGTTCTGGACGCCAGGCGTCTGGCGATACGCTTGATCCTGGCCAATCTGTGGCGCCGCGTATGGTTGCCTCATGCTGACTGGAGATTCGGCTTGGAACCGCGCTTGTTCGATGGCAAACTGAGTCGCTGTCTGGGAATGTTGCGAGACAGGCGAGTCCACGGTAGATGCGACAGGGGTCGGCTCAACAGGCTTGGCCGGTTCTTGTTGCGGCGTCGACTGTTGCTGAGTCTGACGGAACGTGGTTGAGGGGCCTTGCTGCTGATCCTGCTCCAGCTTGTTCTCTGGCTGTGTTTGGATCGATGACTGAGTTGGCTGCGTCGGCATTGGCGGCCTCTGACCGGTAGCCTGCACACCTGGCCCCTGGCCTTCAGTTGCGGACTGCTGTGGCGACGGCATTGCGGGACGTTGACCTTCCCCCGGACCTCGTGACTGAAAGGAATCGGCGGTGCCGGGAGGACCGTGTTGCATGAAATGCGCCTGTGGTGGGAACTGTCCTGAGTATGCTTGTTGGCCAGTGCCTGTAAGCGGCCGGCCATCAGGGCCCAGAGGCATACGCATGCCATACTGTTGTCCCGCGATCGGACGCTGTCCAGGAGGGGATGCCGTATACTGTCCCGAGCCGAAGGGATAGCCCTGAGGTTGCGGCGTTTCCTGGGACTTGGAATCTGCCCGACCCCTCAAAAACCCAAAAACGCCTCCGCTCGGCTTTCGACCTTGGTTTTGATTCGGAATGTGACCTTGTGGAGGCTGCATGGGCGGGGGGCCATAGCCAGGATGCTTGAGAAGAGTGACAGGAGCGATGCGCTCTTGTCCGGCCGCCGACTGCCCACTTGCCGCGTCTGGCTGCGATGCAGGGGCGGGAGCGGAAGTGGGGGCAGGAGGAGCAAGTGAAGCATTGCTCGGACTGAGCTGAGGTTCAGTGAGATTCATTGGGCCCGACTGTGGGCTAGGTCCAGCAGGCGGAGTTGGACCCTGAGAACCGCTCTGATACTGACCCTGAGGTAACCCCTGAGGCGGGCCCTGAGGGGATGTTTGGGGGGGCATCCTTACGGTAAAAGAAGTCTTGGGCTCACGAGGAGACGAGCGGTGGAACACATCCTTGAGGGCCGAGAAGCGCTTCTTTGAGGGACCGCCAGTGCTTCCGGCGTGCTTATGCTCCGTCGCATTGGTAGACGTAGAGGTCCGGGACATGTCAGGGCGAGCTTGGCCGCCCGGCTGGATGGGCGTGTTGTGGGAACCAATGTGGAAGAAACCAGTGGGCTTTCTTCCGGGGGGGGCAAACTGGGAAGGCTGAGCAGATTGCATCCGCTCGCCGAGAGGCGTTCCGGGCCCATGAGCAACGACACTGTCTTTGCTTTGGCTATAAGAGAGGCTGTCCGGTGTATGCACTCCGCCCTTCGGACCAAAGACCGGGTTCCCCCGCTGTGGTTCCTCGGACACAATGCTCGCCATGGACGCGGCATCGCCGTCAACAGCCTGGGGTCTGGGCCCGCTCTCGGAGCCATGGCGCCCATCTGGGTGACCGCCACCAAGCCGGCCCCTGAGGCTGGCAAAAACGCCCGAGTTGCGCTTGCCCTGTCCGTCCTCGGAATTGGGTGCAACACCGGGCCGCGCCAGATCGCCCTGATGGGACTGGTGGGATTGCAACCGGGCCAAGGCAGCTCCGTCGGGTTGCTGCTGAGTAGCCGGGCTCCGATGATTCGTTGCCTCTGTCTCCGTAGCCGGTTGCGCCTGTTGAGCCCCGGCCTGCTGGATTTGTTGGTTTTGATGGGGCAGTTGGGCCTGCGGGGCCTGCGGGGCCTGCGGGGATTGCGAGGGCTTCTGCCGCTGAATCGTGGGGGTGGTCGCGGGCAGGCCGGTCTCCTTATCGAAGCCATAGAAAGGCTGCTGCTGCTGTGACGACGCATTACTTGGCGAGTGGCGGTGGCGGCTCGTAGGTTGGAGAGGTTCGGACAAATGTGATTCCTGCGGAGTCCAGGCGCCGCCCTGGGGATGGAACCTTTGAGCCAGGTTACCAGGAAACATATGGGGAGGGACCATCATGGGACGTCCGCCAGCGGGTGCGAATTGCTGTCCTTGAGCCATATGCTGTGCCGACCCATTCATGGCTGGGTGGGCGGTCGCGGAAGCCGGGCCGAACGCTCTCGCGGGTGCTTGAGCGTGCCCCTGGCCGCGCATGGCAGCATGCTGGAAGGCGGCATTCGGGAAGCCGTGGGTCTGTCCGGCATTCTGACCCTGCAGCTGCCATGTCTGGCCCTGCGGTGCCGGCCCCTGACCAGCTTGAGAGGCTTGAGCACCCTGAGTTGGCCGGTAGACGTGTTGTACGAACTGGCTAGAGGGTTGCGAGGTAGGCATGAACTGATGGCCGGTCTGCTGAGGTGGGGCCATGGCTGGTTGCGTCGAACCTCCCCGGGGTGCGGAGTTAAGCTTCTGGGACTGCTGGGTTTGCTGCTGCTGGGAGGCGCCCTCGGTGCTGTTGTCGCTGGCCGAGAACTCTTCTGCCGTCAGGCCAAGCGAAGAACCAAACGTGGACTCGCGTCGGATAGGGGGCAGTCCTACGAACGAAGGGGTCCGCTGGACGCCATCAGGGCCGGATTGCTGTTGCAAATGGTGTTGCTGATGCTGGTACTGAAGTTGATGACCCTGTGAGTAACTCCCCTGAGGGTAGCTGTCCAGTGGCGGTAGCGGCTTGAAGTTCGGGTTCTGTGTGTATGCAGCCATGGATTCGGGATTGACGGCCCGGAGTGGGATATTCTGGGCCTCCTCGTTACAAGTCTTGTCCGGCGGTCAGGCCTCGTTTGTGTCGCCGGCTGTCGGGTGGCTCGGGGTCAACTTGTGCGGCCACGCCTGTGCCGATGTGTTGCGCGATTACCGCCTTCAGCACATTCAGGTCGTCGGGAGGTAAGCCCCTCCGTCGACACGCGGAAACAAATCAAGCCGTCGGCCTCTTGTGAAGCTCGACGTGCCCTCCAAGATGGCAGACCAAGACTGGTTCCGTCCACTTCGGCCGAGCGTGCGCGGGCGGTGCCAGAGCCTCACGATGAGATGCCGCGATTAGCAGCAGTGCAGCTGAGAGCTCAACTGCGGCTGTCAGCGCGCGCAATTCGACGGCAAAACAATTGCGCAAAGGAGCGGTATCTTGGCTTCGCTCTCTGTCGCTCGGAGGGGGGTTAGGGCAGTGCGTGCTCGCCAGCGGCAAGTGAATTGAGGTGACAGCCCAGATCTCTCTGGAGGAAATGAAGAAGACGCGCGGTCGAGGTTTGGGGACAGCTCCAAGCCTCATCAAGATTGGGGTTGCTTGACAGGCCAAATGGCTGCGTCTGAATTCTGAACCCCGGCTCGCGGGGAGGCACCAGGGTCCCCGGGCCCAGATGGAACATGAAGGAGTGCCTGATGGGGATTGGTCAGGCCAGGGCGCAGCACCTGCCGCTAACTCCTTTCGCTGACGGGGCTGAAGTGGGCAAGTGGCAGCCTGAATGAGGACTTCTTGACCTCGCGGAAACCAGGAGGCTATGAACTTGGGTTTGATCAAGAATTCTACCCTTGATGGTTTCATGGTACACTATTTGCTGCTGAGCACTTGCAACTTATCGATAATCTCAAGTTGCTGCTTTGGTTGCGCCGAATTTACGGATACCAAAGTACACGTGTAGTTATATGTTGCTGGCAGGAAGTGGGGATGTTGGATTCCGTCCCCATGCTGCTTGGCTCGCTCCTGTGTGGAGAAACGGATCATCCTCCAACGTTAACGTTATCCCGCCCTGGCTCGGCTGGCTAATGAAGGGGGCTTTACCTTACGGGAAAGGTTGCCAAGCCAGAGTCACAGCCTCCTGCGGACCCATAACGAGCAACAAGAGCACCATGAGTGGCCTTCCCAATCTCGCCAGTCAAGAGACGCGCTATGCCACTTTGCTTGCCCAAACCCAGCGCCAGGAATACCCAGGAGGGCATTGCGGCCATTGCCATTTGTACCTTGAAAACAAATAGCTAGAGAAAGCCGGTGGCCTCTCCGCCACATCAAATACCACGAACTCAAGCCAAGCCATTGCCGTGTCGCCCAACGCAAATCAAACGCTGTACAGAGCAGATGTCCGCTTTACAAATTACCCGCCCCCCGAAGCTTGTTTCTCCCCTTGCTGAACAAACCCTTCCCGGCCTTGCCCGCCGCCATCAAGAGCTCTTTGCTCTTCGTCCCCACCTGGTTGCTCGAATGCCCGAGCCCGCTCAAGCCGTGTTGAAGGTGCGGTATATGCAAGTGTCCCGGTGCCCTCAGGCTCTGGCCAGCCCCCTGAGATGCCTGTGCTGTCGCTCCGTGGCCGCTTTGCTGGGCATGCGCCACCATCGCCGCTGTCCCTTGACTCGACATTAGGGTACTGGCATGCTCCGGATGCCTGGCCATCATCTCCCTCAGCCACTCCTCCAAGCCCGTGTTGACCGCAGCAAACTGCCATCGCGTTTCATTGTAAAGTTTGATGCGCTCTGCCGTCGACGGCATCTCCATGATGTTTCGGAATCCGACTATGTTCTTGGGTGATGGAGCACTTGGATTTTCAGCCAGTCGGGATTCGTGGTTTCGCGCAAAGGCGGGATGCTGCTCCAAAGGCGGAGGCGTGGAGCCGGCGTGTAATGATTCCTGAAGCACGATCTTCTCTTCTGCCAGCGACTGCCGTTTATCTCCGCCCTGGGGTTCCATGATGTCTGAGAGCGGTGATGGCTGTGTCAGACGGTCGGGAATTGGCATTGGTGCAGGTGCCCCCTCCGGATTGAACTCGGGAGCGGACTCGGCTCTCAGCTCGTCCGCCAATTTCAGTACTTCCGGGCCTGGAGAAGGTTGCGGCGTCTCGATCGTCGACACACCTAGCTCCGCCCGCAATGGAGACGCATTCTCGGCACCAGAATCGAGCTCAGCCAACTGACCTGTTTGAAGCGGCGGACCGGTATCGGGAGGCGATACGGTCGCCGGAGACGAGATGGTCGCCGGCGCTGGTCTCTGATGCCCAGCCTCCCATGAGAAGCGTGTCTCAAGCTCATCAGCTCTACCTGAGCTCTCAGGGTGAAGGTCGGAAACTTTGGCCTGTGCTACCTGGGTTGGGGCGAAAGAGCTGCTTAAGCCGACCATGCCAGGGGGCACGGATAGGCATTCTGCAGAATCCTTGATTGGGATCGGCAATGGATTCCGTCCCGTTTTTCCAGTGTCAACTGCCTTGATGATCGTGGGCAGGCCTGGCTCAACCTTGTCCTCGGTCGCCGCCCAGTAGTCGCCATAGACATCTCCAAGATAGCTGCTCTCACGCGTACGCTCTGCTGCGGCAGCGTGATAAGCGGCAATAGATACCTCAGCCGTGTCTAAGAATCCGCTGCCTGACTGTACAGGGCTCAGTGACTTCATAATCTCTTCGCTCAACTTGTCGCTGTCTTTGACCGGGGAGTGCGTCTCTGCGTCCCTCGTTGGCTCTTTCGTGATGGGCGGCTGAGACAGAACCGGATGCCCAGTGGCATTGTCGTCTGGCGTTCCTCGACGAGGGTTCAATGGCGCTGTGGGAGTGATCTCAGACTTCTCAGTTATTGAGCTCGCTGGTATTGGGCTGCTGGTGTCAACGGCCTGGATTTCAGGATCGGGCGATGCTTTGCGATCCGCAACCTTGACTGGGGAATTGTGGGAGCCCATGTTGAACTTTGTATCCAAAGCCGGGTTTGCATTTCCAAGCGGAGGAGGGCGATGTGGTGAGGCTGGATCCAACGTCGCGGAATTGGGAGCGTTGATGACCCCGTCGTCGCTCGCCACCCCAACCTCGGGTTCCAATCCCCGAGAATCGGACGCCTTCAGTGAAGCAGACTCGGGCCGGGCGTCAACCCCGGGTACACCTTCGACCGCAGACGCCTTGCCTGGCTTCTCATGGGCAGCGCTAGTGGCTGGAGATGGTGGCACCTCTGGAGGGGTCGATGGGGTTTCAGTAACCAAGTTGCCTGGCATGGGCGATCTGGCTGCGGGAGATGCGGCCACGTCCAGAGGCGTCGCAGGAGTCTCAGTAACCCAGCCGCCGGGCATGTGCGGTCTGGTTGCCAGGGTAGCTGGCCGGTCCTCATTGCGCGATGCCGGTTCCCGTTCTGCGTCTTCAGCGGGTGTTTGCTGCTCAGGATTTCTGAAAACCATCTGTGCTGCAACCTCGTGCGACGGCAACTCGACGGGCTGATCCTTTTCGGGTACATTCGGCGGCAAAGACACTGCATGATCGGCCATTCCACTGGCGCTGGAAGCAGGCTGCGACGTTCCCTTTTCGGGGGTGAAATTGGCATCCTTTGCCGTATTCGAGACCATGCTTTTTGTCGTAGCAAGGCCGGTTGATTGAGCTGGAGGTTGTGCTTCAGCTGCAGTCGCTTTACTGGACTTCGGTATGTCTTCGCCCAATGTTGGGAGTTGCATACTGCCGGAAACAGGTGAGCGTAGTCCTGATGCAGGGAAAAAGCTGGACGAGAAAAGATCTTCGCCAAAACTCGACATGCGAGTCAAATCAGGCAATTGAGGGCTCGTAGAAAAACGCCGGATGTGCTCAAGAGAAAGAGGCTGAACAGACTTTTGCGACTCAGCAAGTCTCTTCTGTTCTTCCGATGAGGGAGGTTCAGCCTCGTTTCCCTCGCCGCCGTAACTGGCGAGAAGCCCCTCAATACCATACTCGCTCTGCCTTTCAGCAATTGAGGTCAGACCAGAGGCAGGTTGCAGAGTCCGACCTGTGCGGGAGTCCTCCGTGTCCGGTGAGCCTAGCGGACGGTTTGGAGGATCGCCTTGTAGCTGAATCTCTGAAACAAGCGATTCGCCGGTCCGAGCTCCAGCGTTATCCGCGGCTGACCCGCCAGTTCCGGGCGGAAGACGACCTTTGAGCCTCTCATCCTCCATCCGCTTATATACCTCAGCCGGACGAATAAGCGAAATCGGCTTGTCGGACGAAACCAGCAGTCCTGCGGCGCTTCGAGGTGATGCCGACCCTGTTTCCATCCATGACCTTGAGTTGTCGCTTGGTCTGGGGTCGAAGCCTGACTGCTTCATGTTCTCGAGAGCATCCGCCGCATCATCTGGGTCGATGCTGCCCTTACGGGTCGGAACCTGTGAGGGAAGCTGATGAGGACTTCGAGGAGAAGGGGAGGGGTGCGTCGCGTCGGTGATGGTGTGTGGTTGAGAGTCTCCCTGAGCACTAGGCGGTGACGACTCGAATGCCTCGGTTGCCTTCCACGGAGTCCCACTGGCCATGGACGGTGGTCCAGGGACGGTCGGGGCCTGTCCTGGCCTTGCCGAGGCCGGGACTGCGTACGGCTGAGTATGTGTCCGCAAAGGTGGAGAACCAACGGGCTGAAATGGCCGGGCGGTGGGAGAGTGCGCCGCGGGCTGTCGGGGGCCCATAGGCTTCGGCGGCGGTGGAGGCTCCGGCTCGTGTGCTGGCTCGTCATAATCGTCGCCCCAATCGTCGCCGTCATAGTTTTGCGGTCTGAAGTTTGCCCATTTCTTCGTCTTCTGGCGATTTACATTTACTTTGTACTGGTTACCACTCGGTGGGGGTGCGCTGGGAGACCTGTTTCACAACGGTCATGGTTAGAGACGTGGGCTTGATGCTGGCTTGCAGGGAAAAGGGGAACGGACATGCCCCTGCTTGTGGGGAAGATGTTTCCGTATGAACCATCCATGGCGGTAGTGTTGTATCACAATCGGGAGACTTCATGCGTTGCGGTCGGGTTTTAGACTCTCGCTCGACTCGAGCTCGATTCTCGAAGGTGACAAAGAGGGGCGCGGCCTCGACGTTGCACGGCTGCAGGTTGGCTCGGCACCGGGCGGCAAAAGACGGCGGTCTAAAGTTGGATAGACAGCGACCCGGGTTAGCCAGATTAGCGGCAAGGGCGGTCCCGGGAGATCAGAAGATACGCGTGGCTCTAAGCTGTACTCCGTATACGTGTTGTTGATATTCTTCAAACTGAGCCACGTTTATTAGGGGCAGACGGCAGAATGAGCGTTGTCTGGCTCCGAGGTGTCCCCACAAGCCCAGTTGGAGCTTTGAGTGGAACCCGGATTTCAGGGACGGATCGTGAACTCACGTCAAGTCGTCGTGGTGCCAAGACGATCTGCATCTGAGAGCAGCATGCGCCACATCGGCGCCAGGTGTTTGGCTTCGTCTCTTCGTCCGGGGTATCTGAAGGGTTCTGAAGGGGCAAACCTCCGGAACTCTTGAACACGTCGTGAACTTGTCGCTTGCGGGCATGCATTTGCAGCGAACTTGAACCCAAAACAAGCAGAAATGAATTCATCTGTGCCTTGATAACGTCTAGATGATTGGGCAGGCTGATGGCCGTTCGTTGAATCGTACTCCGTACACAGTCAGTACCGGCGGCCGTGCAACGTCGATGACCGGCAAGAAGTGAGGCACGGGACGGGAATTCCTACGGACTCTGCCACAATATCCACTACCAACGGATGCGGCGGAGCCTGAGATGAATTGTACTTACCGATCTACATAGATACCTTCGAGGACTCGAGCTAAGTAGGTAGGTAGGCAATCCGCTGAGGCTAATAGATGAACTGGTATATCCGTAAGGTGGCTTTGTTCTTCAAGACCACAGTAATAAGCACAGTTCCCGCTCGCTGCATGCACTGTCCCGGTCTCAGGCGACTTGCCCGTCTGATGAAACTGGAATTGGTCCAAGCGCCATTGGGCGAAACAACACCACGTATCCCTCAAAGTACCGATACGGAGGACTGACATTGTCATCTCTGCGACTTAGCACCGCCATCGACACCTGCCTACATTCGCGCAAGATTCCCGGTATTCTCTACTCTCGTCTCGCCCTTCAAAGTGTTGCACAAACTGTCCCTCGGAGCCGACCGTACTTGGCGCCCTGTCACACCTCCTGACTCCCATTAAGAACAGCCATCTGCCGAGTTGCCCAGTGAGCGCGCTTGACATCTGTCTGCCAGCGCGCCACAATAGGATATTCCCGCCGCAATGGCCGTTGCGATCAATGACCGCACGGAGGAATTCCGCCAAATCCTCACAGCTGCCCAGCGGAAGCAGGCTGCCAAGCCGGCATCACAACGGCTCCTCAACGATGGCCAGAGAAGCGCGGCAGCGGGAGGCGCGCAACCACGACGGTCAGAATTTGCGCGGCAAGCAGCGGAAATTGGCAGGGGGATATCAGCGACGATGGGAAAGCTCCAGAAGCTGGCGCAGCTGGCCAAGAAGAGATCGCTCTTTGACGACAACCCGGTCGAGGTAAACGAGTTGACATTCATTATAAAACAAGACCTATCCCGCCTGAACGAGGACATCCGGAATCTTCAAGCACTATCGAAGCGTCTGCATCCGAAGCCGGACCAGGAAGGGGAAAATAACAAGAATATCCTGCTGCTGCTACAGGGCAAGCTAGGCGACGTGAGCGCGAACTTCAAGGACGTCTTGGAGATCAGGACAAAGAACATTCAGGCTTCAAGGTCACGGACCGAGGCGTTTGTGTCAACGGTGGGACAGCACGCCCACTCATCCTTACCGCCGTCAGCGTCCCCTTTATACGCCACCCCAAATAGGGGGGTTACTCCTTCGCCCGGCGCAGACCTCATCTCGCTCAATCCCATGGGCGGGGATCAGCAGTTGCAGTTGCAGATGATGGAAGAGGGCCAAAACACATACATTCAACAACGGGGGCAGGCCATCGAAGCAATTGAATCGACCATCCATGAACTTGGATCAATGTGAGCACAGGCATCAAGCACTCGGGTTCGGGACGAAGACTGACTTGCATCTGCAGTTTTGGACAACTTGCTGCCATGGTCAGCGAACAATCTGAGATGATTCAGCGCATCGACGCAAACACGTACGACCAGGAGACCCCCTTAGCAGGTATCTCTCAGCTAACTCTCTCCCAGGGAAGATGTTGTGGACAATGTCGAGGGGGCGCAGAAAGAGCTGCTCAAATACTGGTCTCGCGTCTCGGGCAACCGGTGGCTGATAGCAAAGATGTTTGGTGTCCTAGTATGTCCTCCGCTGCACCTTTCTCACCCTGGTAGACCGACTGACACTTGCAACCAGATGGTCTTTTTCCTGCTCTGGGTGTTGATCGCCGGGTAAATGAACAGCATGCTGTTTCCCTTTCTTGTACGGTCCTTTTCTTGTTACTGCCCGCGGCGGCGTCTTCATAGACTATCCCATGGTACACTTTCGTAATACCGACTAGGAACGCATTGGTCGAGCTATCTTTTTCTCTCCACGCATCGGAGGAGTACTTGTGTTTCGTATTGATTAGATGGCAGTGTAGAGGAACGCTGTGGAATCTGGCAATGCGATCATCTCGGCTGGGACCAGATCGGTTCTAAGACTGGGTTCGAGTCGTTTTGTGTCATATGACCCATATAAATGCGAACGTAGCCTACTGAGAGTCGTCTGGGCATTTTCATGGTCCTCACAGGCCAAGCCCGTTTCTTTCAAGAGCGGAACAATTTTCCGCCAATCAGGACTCTTTGGCTTGTCCAGAAAGGCATACGACCCATCACCCCACCACCACCCCGCGGCAGTGATGGATGAGGGGCATGTCAACGAAAACACGCTCCTGCTCCCCAACTACCTACGGGCAGGAAATCGTTGGCTCTCGAGATTCTTCATCATCACTATCCGTGGATATGGGAGTTGGAAAAACATGAACGTCCACGTCGGCTGGCAAAAACTACTGGTCGTCAATATCGAGATGGACCTCTTTCAAGAATCGGTGGCATCCCCAGGTTGAAATGCTTGACCGCGGCATATGATACACCGAATGTTGGGGCTCCCGGTGTCGTGATGTACCCCATTTAGCCGAGATACCCACTTGAAACGGCGCTCAGCTCTCCTCAAAGTTCCTCTCCAGAGCTTCCACCTATCTCCTTCCCGAGTCCCAGGTTTTCTGCTTGTTTCTCATTCCCGTCCTCTCAACGTGACTCACCCGAGCACATCATCGTCAAGCTGTTGCTTCTCTTCCGACTCACATATAAACGACTTGCACCCTGCCTGCCGTGGAACCGACAGCTTGTTGTGCCACCCATCCTAAAGTACCCGTCTAGAATCGTCACAATGGCAAACAAGACCTTCAAGCTCAACACCGGCCAAAACATTCCAGCCATTGGGCTCGGTACGCCCCCCTTCCTCTTCCCCTGACGAAACCAGAGAAAACTCGCTCACGCATCTCACCAGGAACATGGCAATCCGAGCCGGGCAAGGTCAAGGAGGCGGTGGCGCACGCGTTGAAGGTCGGGTACCGGCTGATCGACTGCGCATACTGCTACGCCAACGAGGAGGAGGTCGGTCAGGGGCTGGCCGAGGCGTTCGCCGCGGGCGTCAAGCGCGAGGATATCTTTGTCGTGTCCAAGGTGTGGGCGACGTACACGACGAGGTGCGAGCTGGGACTGCAGAAGAGCTTGGAGAAGCTGGGGTTGGACTATGTTGATCTGTACCTGGTGGTATGTGTGCTGTCCTATGTCGAGAACGGGGGTGTGGTTGGCGGCTAACGGGAAGACAGCACTGGCCGTTGTTGATGAACCCTGAGGGTGAGTATGCGGCCATGAGCTAGGAGGCGCATGTTGAAGGTTCATGTTTGCTGATGATACTTCCCAGGCAACGACGACCGCTTCCCCAAGCTCCCCAACGGCGAGCGCGACATCATCCGCTCCCACAACCACGTCGACACATGGAAGCAGATGGAAAAGCTGCTCGAAACGGGCAAGACCAAGGCCATTGGTGTTTCCAACGTTTGCCTCCCTGCCCAAGTCTCCTTGGAAAGTATTCATGCTGAAACCCCGTCCAGTACAGCAAGCGCTACCTCGAGGAACTCCTCCCCCACGCCACCGTCATCCCTGCCGTCAACCAGATCGAGAACCACCCGGCCCTGCCGCAGCAGGAGATTGTCGACCTCTGCAAGGAGAAGGGCATCCACATCATGGCGTACAGCCCGCTGGGGAGCACAGGCGGCCCGCTGTTCACCGCCGAGCCTGTCGTCAAGATTGCCGAGAAGCATGGCGTGAAGCCGTCTGCCGTCTTGTTGAGCTATCACAGTAGGCCGCCTTCTTCCTCCAGTTCCCTAACCCGCAGCCTTGAGCTGGTTTGTTGTTTCGCAAAGCAGGGGCTATGATGCTGACGATTTTTGTAATAGTCCCCCGCGGCACAACCGTCCTGGCCAAGTCGGTGACGCCGGAGCGCATCACGGAGAACCTGAACCTGATCGACCTGGACGCCGAGGATATCACGCTGTTGAACGACTACTCGGACAAGCTAACCAAGGAGGGCAAGCTGCAGCGGTTTGTCTACCCGCCGTTCGGTGTCGACTTCGGCTTCCCGGATAAGTCATAGGGTCGCTTTCCTAGGAGTGGCGGAATTAGAACTGAAATAGACTTCCCCGCGTTTCAACGGTCACGGTGTTCTTGCTCTCTTACTCCACCTCCAATTTCGCGACGTGTTTTCATTTTCTATGACGGTTCATAACGGCGTGTCTTTGCCGTCACATGTCCACCATCACCTTGAGGACCAGCTTTCCCTCGTCATCCTTCACCCTCGCAGCCATGTCGAACGCCTTGGGGATGTTCTCCAAGCCGGAAAACCGTTGAGTGATGAGCTTGGTAAAATCCGGCAGCCGTGGGTTTTTGCTGGCCAGCAGCTCAATGACCCGCGGGTACGTGTTGGCATAGCGGAAGACGCCTACTAGGTCGACCTCGCGGAGAGCTGCTGCCGAGATGGGTAGCGTCTGGATGGGATTGCCCATGCCAATGAGCATGATACGGCCGCCGGGGGCGGTAGCCTGGACCAGTCAGAATGGCAATTCTTAACCCAACTCAATCTGATTGCGATGTTTCTACTCACATAGATGGAAGCCTGCAGGCAGGTCTCGACACCGGTGCACTCGTAGGTTGCCGAAACCTCGCCCAGGGCCTGGCCGTTGAGTATCGTCGACTTGACAGACTCGGCCACCTGCTTCGCAAACTCAAGCTTCGCTTCGATGGTGTCGGGCCGCTTCATGGGCACAACGACGGCGGCGTCGGCGAAGCCGTTGTCGACGGCGAACTTGACCCGGTCCTCCTGAATATCGGCAATGACCACCTTGGCGTCGCTAACCGCCTTGCTGATGGCGGCGCAGAGAAGGCCGACGGTTCCGGCACCGAACACGAGGACCGTTGAATTGGGCGCAAGGCGTGCCCTGTCCGAGGCGTGGAGGGCGACGGACAAGGGCTCGACGAGGGCGCCGAGCTCTAGAGACACGTCTGGAGGGAGTCTATGGCCATTGTCAGCAGATTTATTCACCAGTTCAAAAACTGCAGACATACTTGTGGCACCAGCTTGCCGGATGTGTTATCTGCTCCTGGAGCGTTCCCTGAGCGTGGGGGTATGCCTTTGCCGAGCTCCTGAATTTCATCTCCCTGCAGATATTATAACGGCCCTCCTGGCACAGCTCGCACTTCTCGCACGGTTGGCCGACCTCGAGAGCGACATGGTCTCCCAGTTGGAGTGAGGTCACAGCGGAGCCCACGGCGGTGACGACGCCGGCCGACTCGTGGCCCAGAGTAAGGGGCTCGCGCACCAGGATGTCGCCGTTGCGGAAGTGGCCGAAGTAATGCAGGTCCGAGCCGCAGAGGCCGGTCGCCTTGACAGCCACTTGGACGTCATTGGCACCGAGAGGAGGCAGATCCCGTTCTTCCTGGCGAAAATATGTGAGCTTGGGCGTTCCCAGTTCATGGATTGTGCGACTTACCAGTCGCAGGTCGCGGGACCCGTGCAGGACTGAGGCCTTCACTCGAGGAGTAGCCATGGGTAGAAGGACAGAGAGCAAGATAAATCAGGATCAATGGTAGCAATTGTCTGCCTGAACAGAAGAAGTGTATGTTTAAACTCAGAGAGATCGAGTCTGAAGGAGTGGTGGGGAGTCACAAGAAACAACAACACCGGAGAGTAACCGGATGTCAAGCTAGCTTGGTGTTAAGGAGGGCCTGAATACCATTTCTCACAGTGCTAGGTGCTGTCCAGGTTATTTCTGCCCCCGGTAAGGCCGATACCGATCCGCGGAACCAGATTCAACACGAACACGGTCACAGGACCCGAAGGCGTGGAGCCGACCCTTGTGCAAGGGCATGTCGTCCTAAATTCACCACTCGTCAGTCCACTGTTCCTGCTCGGGCCTATTTAACCTCCAAAGCCGAGCGATAAGTCTTGGTGGGGTGATATCCACCCAGAACCCCGCGCTGAGCTGAGAAACTTTGTGCGGAACGCGGGGGAGTGTTCGGACTTCGGAGGGCATCCCCGTCGACATCCCCATAGCCGATCCCGGGTTGTTTCCCGGCGGTAAGCGGGATACCACCTTACTGTGAATCCATACTAGGGTAGCTCACTTACATCAAGACTGACAGGACAGAAACGCAATCGGTTTCTCTCACACGTGTTTACAGACAGCCTTCGCTTGATAAACAAACGAACAATGTCTTCGAGTAATCTACCCGACATGTTCTCTCTCGAGGGCCACACCGCGCTCGTCACAGGGGGCACTCGAGGCATCGGCCAAGCAGTTGCCATTGCCCTCGCCGAAGCCGGAGCCGATATCCTTCTTGTCCAGGTGCGTCAACCACAATACAAAACCCCAGTCTCATACATACTCCCCTATCTAGATACAAGAGAATCGAGATAAACAACAAAGCACTAACACCGACCCAGAGAGATGAGACGTCCACCAAGACACTCGACGCCATCCGGGCCCTCGGCCGCACCGCATCCATCTACACAGCCGACCTGAGCTCCGCCGAGGACGTGTCCAAGCTCGTGCCGCGGATCCTCGCCGACGGCCACCAGATTCGCATCCTGGTCAACTGCGCCGGCATCCAGCGGCGACACCCGTGCGAGAAGTTCCCCGACTCCGACTTCAACCAAGTCAGTTTACCCACGTCAAGTCCCCTAACTAGATAACCTCGAACTGACACCCCCCACCCAGGTCATCCAAGTAAACCTCAACAGTGTCTTCACCCTCTGCCGGGACGTCGGCGCCCACATGCTGCAGCTCGACCCCTCGCCCGTGACCGGCCGGCGGGGGTCCATCATCAACTTTGCCTCGCTGCTCACCTTCCAGGGCGGCCTGACGGTGCCCGCCTACGCGGCGTCCAAGGGTGCCGTGGGCCAGCTCACAAAGAGCTTCGCCAACGAGTGGACGGCCCGCGGCATCACCGTCAATGCCATTGCCCCTGGCTACATCGAAACCGAGATGAATACGGCACTGCTGAATGATCCGGAGCGGTTGGCGAGCATTAGCGCGAGGATACCGGCTGGGAGGGCAAGTTTTCCCTCAATTCTCTCACAATGTCCTTTATTGGTGTGCTAACTGTACTGTTTAGTGGGGGAGCCCCGAAGACTTCAAGGGCACCGCCGTCTATCTAGCTACCAAAGCGAGTGCATACGTGAGTGGCCATGTGCTAATTGTGGACGGTGGATGGATGGGAAGGTAAGCGATAGTGCCATCTACGGCACTAGCTTGTTGTTTCATATGAGAAAGAAGAAAGGCCAAGCTAAAGTTACACCTGTTCGAACCATCGACCATCATGCTGCTCCAGTTTAATCCCTCACCGAGCCCATGGCCTGCTCCATCCAGGGGTAGACGGCCTCGTTGGCCATCGGGTAGCCCATGTGCAGCGCACCGGTAAAGAACCTCGCCTCCTTGGGCGTGCCGTACTCAAAGAGCATCATCGAGTCCTCGATGGGCATGAGGCCGTCAAGAATGCCCTGACACGCAGTTAGCGGCTTGTAAGACGACCAGGGCTATTGACTCACATTGATCAGAAGCAGGCGGGTAGACGGCTTCTTGATGATACCGGTCTCAAGCAGCGAGAACTTCTTTTGCACGTTCGCCTTGTACTCCTCGATTGAGGCGAAGCCGTGCTTCATGGCCATGGGAGGAGACAACCTTTGACAGTCAGCCGTCGCATGGTTCGCGGTCAGGGGTAACAGTATCGCTTACTGGAAAGGATATTCATGTCCATCCGCCCTCTCGAGCCACTGGCGGTCATAGAAATAGTGGCATCCCGCGCCCTGCGCAACGCACCCGACTAGCTGATCCTTGTGGGTGTGCGCAATGCGGACGGCGTAGTATCCGCCGCTGCTCAGGCCCCAAACCATGACGCGCTTCATGTCAAACCGCCCATCCTCGCCCATCCACTCGAGCAAGCTCGTCCACAGCCGGTCGGGCGAATTGGGGTCGGCGCTGTCAGCCGGACAGTCGGCCGTGCCGGGGATCTCTACCACGACAGAACCCCTGACATATCAAGCCTCGTCAGCTTTACACTCACCCTCCGTACCTACAATAACACATAATGGAGAAACCAAGTGAAAAGGGAAACAAGAAAGACTTACCAGCCTCTCTTCAAAAACTCCTCACACCTGATCGTATTATCCGGCCGGTACCCATCCAAACCCGTCATCAACACCACCACAGGACACGCCCCGCCCTCGCCTCCGTCCCCCTCCTCCGACCTCTTGAGGTCCTTAGGAACCCGCACATAAACCGGAATCTCCCCCCGGTCCCCACCACTCGCATAACGATGCTTGACCATAACCTCCTGCACCGGAGACTCCCACAGCGCGCCCGCCTGAAGGTACGCCGCCTTCTGTTCCTCCCACGCCTGCCACTTGACGGCATCGTTGACCGCCGGGTAGGCCGTGATGTACGGGAAGCGGGCGATGCGATAGACGGCGCAGGCGCGCAGGTACAGGGCCGAGGCCGCGGCGCGGTCGCCTTTCGCGGCTGCAGCCGAGGCCTGGGCTGTCAGGTTGCGGGCTGTGGGAAGGAAGCTTTCGGTGTAGGAGGGCGAGGTGCCGTCGTTGATGTTGTTCTGCGGGTTGGTTTGTTAGCATTGAAGGGGGAAAGGAGGTGGAGTTGGGTAAGTGGCGGGGAAGTTATGTTGGTAGGGGTAGGACACAAACTTCGATAAGATGCTTGAAGATGGGCTCAAAGTCCTCGTAGGCGCCGTCGTGAAAGGGGTAAACGGATTTGACGCACTGCGAGGGTTGCGAGTGGTTAGTGGTCTGCGGTTTTCCCTGGAACAATGACGAAACACTTACGGGAAACTTCCACTTGGTTTCCCAAAGAGCCTCGATGCCGTCGTGGTGCGGCATGCGCCGCTCAAACGCCTCTTGGCCCATGATCCAGGACTCGGGTGTCTTGCCCTCTTCACCAGCCGCCGGGTTGGCCAGTGTGGCTCGGGAAGACATGTTGTGAGCAACGGTCATAGAGGAGCGCGAGAAGCAGGGTGAAGCTGAGAGTCGCAGCGTGCAGTTTATACGAGCAGAGGGACCTTTAGTCTCGCGAAAACAAGAGTTCGGTTCTTGCAGCCTATGCAGGCTCTTGCAGAGCTCCGCCTTCGTAGTCGGGAGGATGAAGGTGGAATAACTCCAAGCTTCCGGCAGGCTCTGGAAAGAATTGTTAATAGATGCCGTGCTCTAGTATTCTGCTTCAAAAAAGGGAACACCGACTCAAACTGAAGGAGGGCGATGCGCAGGCGGGTAAGAGCAACGTGAAGACCCCTACCCATTTCGATGAAAGGAAGTATCGATTTGACTGTAGATGAGGCGGAAAGACCCAGGTTCTTATTACGGAAACAATTCGGTCGCTCTCTTGTGCGGGATGTGAACCCGGATCATCCCAAGTTCAAGTTGGGGATATCCGTAGGGACTCCGGACGAGGGCACGAGAGACCCGGCGACGCTTTGGATGAGGATACCCGCAACAGCTCGGCCGTTGTAACTAGATAAAAGATGGTGTTAAATCGTTTAGTATATGGTATGTGTATAATGAAGGGGAGGTGGAATACAACGCGGTCGGAGCGAATTGATACTCGCTGGTAGTCTGTTATACATGAGCGTGCAAACTCGGATCCCGTCCATTCCATCCGGGCGTGCTGTCGAGAGAGACGTCACGGGCTACATAAGCATTGCCCTATATACTCCGAATCAGTGACACATGAGTTAACTCCTCATTTAAGCTTCTTGACTCCGCGCATATTAGTAATTCTGCAACGCTTGCGAATATGTTGTGCAACTCATCGATTGCTGTGCAGAGCCTTTAGTGTAACATGAATCCAGATCCTGGAGACAATTCCGATGAGGGGTATGCAGGATGACTGCAACCTCACCTGAACATGCTGCTCACCTAGAAACCCCTGAGGCAAGTCGAGCCTGCTTTTTCTGGTTTGTGAGTTGATGAGTGACTCGCTCCAAGAACAGAACCCCGGGCGGCAATTGGCAGCGAAGGGGGGATTAGTGAGGTTCAAGGGTGGATGGCGGGGTCTCTGCGTCGCCAACGGGGCGGCGAGGCTGCGAATGATTCAAACGTCTCCGAGCGTAGTTGTGATCTGGCGAAGGCGTCCTCTCGCATGCCCGGTGTCTCACTGATGTTCACGGGGACAGTGGGGACCCTAAGGTACCTATTCAAACCAAACACGCTGTTCTAAATCTACCTCTATCCCACCCCTATCTCCTCTCAGCGACCTTATCTCGGAAAACGCAGCTTCGATGTTCGTCTGAAGGAGACCTCGATGCCGCAGGGACTCCCCCACCATGCAAATCATGCTTGGTAGTGTGGGTGTCAAAGATTGGCCATGTCGTTGCCTGTGGTCTTCGAATAACCATCCAAAACAGTCAGTCGCACTGCCTCGCTGGCGCGAGGCCCCCCAACAGAAATTATTGGGCGCTACCACTCTTGTGCCCCTCATGGTAATGGGCCATCTCCAGGCCTGCCCTCCGGAAACCGCACTTGACGTAGAAGCCTTCGTTGTGCTCGCTGCAGTCGAGTATTGTCTTATAACACCCTATTTGTTTGGCGATGTAGTCGAGCGCCTGGATGATGCGCAGGCCAAGCTTCTTGCCTTGTTGGTCTTTGGCGACGGCGATATCCTCGATATGGCCAACAGAACCGAGATTGTGGATGCTGTTGCGCGGCAGACCTTGTTAGCTGTCCGGTGCGACCATGGGTAAGGACAAGGAGACGGCTCTTTACAATTTGCGCTCTACCAGCACTGCGCCGGTGCCAACGATCCTCGAGGGGCTGGTATTCGTGTCTTCAATGACAATGACAAAGTATGTGCCGTCCTGCTTCGAGATCCAGTCGTAGCGCGCCTCCCACTTGTCCTTTGGAATGTCTCCAACCGTCGTCAGCACCCGTAAGCAGTCGAGAAAGCCGGCGTCGAAATCCGTCCGTCGCAGAGCTCGCAGCTTGTAACCTTCAGGCAGCTCGGCCTGCACTTCGGGCGACAGGTATTCGGCAGAGAAGAGGCCTTGTTCGGCCATTGTGGGAGGGCGGTACTGCGGCGGTGGACTGCTCGTCGAGTTACTCAGGCGAAGTCGGTAGCTTGCCTCGTCGAGGGAAGCCTTATGCTGTGTCGGACCGAGCCAAATGATCGAAGTTGGGAACTGTATGAAATCGATTGAACTCTGGCAACAGATGTAGAGGTATGCGACGCGAAGGAAGGAATGTCGGAATGTAGCGCAGCGTAGCCCGATACGAGGGGCAGTGCCGAGGGGCAGTGCGGTAGCGCGGTCAGATCCCCGCCAAGCGTGGAGGTCCCACGTTGAAAGGGGCACGCAGATTTCCCGCCGCCCCTGGCGGTAAGTGGAGACTTGATGTGCGGCAGTTCCCATTCGCAACCAAGGCTCTTTCCGCAACCGACCAGCCTGGGAAGGCTTAGGATTGCTTTCCACGTTGGAACCACAATTCGAGCCATGCAAACATTCCATGAGTGCCCAGCCAGGCAAACATCCGCCAAAGAACAGCAATCCCTCTCCGGCTGGAACGCCCTGTTTGAGCGGTGATGCGGAGCCCGGATCAGAAAAGTCAATCTGCTGGCAGATACATATCTCCAATGCCTGTATGGATCGCTCGACAAACCCTGGCATCCTCTTCAGGACGGCAGCCCCATAAAGCTAGAGTGACTCGTGCTGTCACATGTCAGACCGCTAACCGGTCACTCATCGATGCTCTCAGTGGCAGTCGCCCGTTTGGGCCGGATATGTCGTGAACGCGGCGCGCAGAATCTGGGCTGGCTGCCCCTTGCCGAGCGTTCCAATATCGTCGCGTTAGAAACTCATCCCCGGATCATAACTGCCGTTACTCCCCCACCAAAACTTAGTATAGTATAGACAGGACAGGTACTTAACTCGACCATGCCTACCATGTCTCATGTCTCCCCAATCTCCTTCCGGGCGTCTCTTGCCCGTCGAGTGTGGCCCCAATCGGCCAGTCGTAACACCTTAACCCCTCAGCTACACTTCGGACGCGCTTGATGAATGCCGATGCGGTGCCCGAGCCCTTACAATGACAACCACAGGCGACCATGCCGTGGTTCATGTCGGTGATGGCACGGCAGTACTCGCCCAACCCCTCGACGAAGGAGCCGGCGGCACACCTTTGAACGAAACAGGCCTCGCCCTCGACAACGGATTTGTGCTTCCTTCACCGCTAGCCCGCCTAGTGAGCATTGGCACAAGGTCGACAAGCCATGTTATCCGGATCACTGGCGCCACGGTGGACTGGGGGTGGAATGTTTTCGGTGACACCAAGTTGTCGGCCCTCCGGCTGGGTCATGCCGTCGTCAACGACAGCCTAATCAAGGCCGCCAGGGATGCCAAATCCCGTCGCCATCCCCAGGCGGCAGAAGCAGATGCCGCCGCCAACATCGAGAGAAGGATTGAGGGGCTGAACACCAGGATAGACCACGCTATCTTCTGGCTCGCAACTGGTTTTCACGTCACGAGCTCTGCGGCTTCCAACCGCTCCGGGGAACGGCATCGCTGCTTTCGACCCTCGACCAGTTCTTCGGCTCAACCGAATCGTCACGCGCCATGGCTAGCATCATTGCCATGATACGCTGAGAGATGACGAGCCCTGCCGCCGGTGGCCAGGGTGAAAACGGTCAGTCTTGCCTAGCTGGTGATGTCGCCCTGCGTCTTGGCGCATCTGCAGAGCTCGTGCCGAGCGTTGCTGGAGGAGGAGAATCGCGCTTCCACTGTGGAGGAAATTGTTTGGGACGTCGTTGTTTTCGATAATGGTACGCGCATTGATCTTATTGAGGAGCATCTGGATCGTTCCTGGATCCCTGACACTCAATCGCATCTCGATACCGAAACAACAACAACAGTAACACACGTCCACCTACAGCGCATCCCGCCGCTTGGACCTCCGATGCAACTGCCCTCCTCCTCATCACTCCAGGTAGACTCCACCGCCGACGACGCATCAGCATGGGAATCGACTCAAGAAGCGGACTCCGCTCCTACAGAATCTGCACTAAATCGGGAACCAGAGACACCACCTCAAAAAGAGCCGTCAAACATGAAACGTGGACCTCAAAGTGCGCTTAAGAGATCCGTCTCCGGCCTAAGCAGAGACCGCCAACGCTCCAGGGCTACACTGGGAAAGTTGAAGCATGTGTTGGTTGCCGCGTTGGCAGAGAAGGCTCAACACCAAAGCCTCCGACTTGCGACCCCTGCCCAGCAACCGATATCGGTTCCGGAGGAGAGGATGCTTGCTATCCCCAACGCCAAACTTCCAGGACCGAGCATGAAGCTACTACTCTCTGCTTCGACCACGAGTTTTCTTTCAGTCCATAACACCCGGCGGCGAGCAGCCGACGTGACATCCTCCGTTGTCACTGTTGAATACTACGAACCTGCTGCAGTATTTGAGAAGACGACAAGCAGTCATGGGATAGGCAACACCGCCTCGGAGCCGGGGCCCGTTTCTCTCTATGACGTCCCGGCAAGGAATCACTCATGTGCTGCGAGCATATACACGCCAGGGGCCGCGACTGATTATTCGGAGTTCCATCTCGTCTATTGTCCCACGCAACATCAACAGGTCATCCATAATGTTGAACGAGAGTTGAGCCCAGCTAGGCCGACCTCTACATACATCTCGCTATCCGTTTCCCGCATACCCGTTCCTTGAACGCCATCTTCTCGCTAACCTTCCCCGGTACATGCGTTTTGCCTCAGCCTCTTACGGTTCGATGCTTATGGGACTCATGGGTGTAGCCACGAGTATTCAAATTCCCGGGCTTTTGGATGACACGCCTGAGGAGCTGCGTTCTTTTGCCCGTCACACCAGGTGCAGACCTGAGGATGTCCTTCTGTCATCGTTTCTCGACGCCCAAGGCGGCTCGGACGCAACGGATTCCACTGGCAGCGGAATACCACTCGTGCACTACGTCTCGTTGGACCACGAGTTCAAGGCTGTCGTCCTGGTCTTCGTGGCACCGTCGACTTTGAGGATATCCTCGCAGATATGACGTGCGAGTACGACGTCCTGGTCTGGCGCGGCAATTCATATAAAGTCCACAAGGGCATCCAGGCATCCGCAAAACCGCTCCTCTATGGTCGTGACGGGCGAGTCTTGCACACCCTCAAAGGAGCTCTTGAGGACCACCCCAGCTATGGCATCGTCTTAACCGGGCGTACGTCAACTTCACCCTCTCTCTCCCCTTCTTAAATGACTCGGGAGGTTCTCGCTCACGAGACAGCGCTTCTGCTCCGAGTCGCCCTTAAACAAACAGAATGATTCCTGACATGGATGGGCAGATTCCCTCGGCGGCGCAGTAGCCTCCTTTCTAGGCATCATGCTCTCCGAACCCGACCCAGGATACCCAAACGCGCTTTTTTACATCCTCCGAACCGCACACCAACCCATTCTCCCAACAACCAGACACTACCTGTCCGCCCCCGTCCCACGCCCGCCTGCCTCCTGGCCGACTGATCCACGTCTATGCCTACGGCCCGCCCTCGACCGTCTCCTCCCGTCTCTGCGCTGTCACCCGAGACCTGATAACCACCATCCATCGTCCACGGCAACGACGTGGTCCCCTACCTCTCTCTCTCGGCCTTTTCCGCGACATCCAAGCCGCCGCGCTCGCCATCAAATCCGACTTTGCCACCTCCACGGCGACGGAAATCGCGCGACGCATCCGGCAAGCAGTGTCCAACTGCGTCTCCCTCTTCGAGCCGGCCGGGGGCGGCTTGCCGCAGGGGCCCGACGACGGCGAATGGCCGTTTGCCACGCTCAAGGTGCTCCGGGTTAACATGATGCACGACAAACTGGTGCCGCCGGGGGAGGTGTTTGTCGCGGCGAGTACGCCGCGCCCCGGGAGCTAGAGCCAGGCTGCGTCGATTTTTAGAGCAAGGATTGGAGAGTACCTGGGCCTGGGCTAGTCATCGCCGGCGCACAGGGTGGTGCTCAAGCACTTGCGGGACGTGGAGATGAGGGTTTTTGAAGTTGAAGTTCGGCAGCGGCATGTTTGCCGACCACATGATGGGGCGGTATGAGGCTGCTTTGGAGAGACTGAGGGTTGGGGCCCGGGTGAGTGAGTGAATGCACGCATGGAGGATATTACGCTGCGGAAACGGTCCGAGACAGTGAGTGTATGAGGTGTCGTTGCTCCGTACCTGGCTGAGGCTGAATTGGCTTGACACTACCTACTACACTACATTTCCTAGGATTACGATGTCAACCTCTATGCTGCGAAATGTGGCAAGACTGCTAGAACACGCCAGCATCTTATCCTGTTTTGATTCCTTTTTTATTATTACACGACCTTAGACTATCTATCCTAGACGAGGCAGACTACCCTACTCGGGCTTCTCGGTCACAATCTTGCCGTCCTTGTCATAAAAGATCTCCTTGACCTTGACGGACCGCAGGTGGTCGACGCCCTTGCTGAGCTCGCAGTCGTGGTGGAACAGCCACCAGCGGCCCTGGAACTCGACAATCGAGTGGTGCGTGGTCCAGCCCAGCACGGGCTCGAGGATCCGGCCGCCATACGTGAAAGGTCCGTACGGGCTGTCGCCGACGGCGTAGCAGAGGTAGTGGGTATCGCCGGTCGAGTAGCTGAAGTAGTACTTGCCGTTGTACTTGTGCATCCAGGCAGCCTCGAAGAAGCGGCGGTCGTGGTCGTCGGCGGCGATGCGCTCGCCCGTCTCTGGCGCCAGGATCACCACCTCGCGCACCTCGTCAGCGAACTGGCGCATGTCGTCCGTCAGCTTGGCCACGCGCGGGCCCAGCGCGCACACCCCTTCGCCCGAGGGCTCCTTGGGTCCCTGCCACGAGGCGTCAAAGACGTCGTTGCCGCCTTGGTAGCACTGCAGCTGGCCGCCCCAGAGCCCGCCAAAGTACATGTAGGCCTGGCCGTCGTCGTCGACAAAGGTGGCCGGGTCGATGCTGTAGCTGCCCTTGATGGGCTCCGGGTCCGGAGTGAAGGGGCCCTCGGGGCGGTCGCCGACGGCGACGCCGATGCGGAAGATGCCCTGCTTGTCGCGGGCGGGGAAGTAGAGGTAGTATTTGCCGTTCTTGTAGGCGGCGTCGGGGGCCCACAGCTGCTTGGACACCCAGGGGATGTCCTCGGTCTTGAGCACGACGCCGTGGTCGATCACGGGGGCGGCCGGGTCGAGCGACTCGGTGCTGAAGACGTGATAGTCGGCCATGTCGTACTGGTCGCCATTGTCGTTGAACTGGATGTCGGTCTCGCGGTCGTGCGACGGGTAGATGTAAATCTTGCCCTCGAAGACGTGGGCCGAGGGGTCGGCAGTGTAGATGTTGGTGATGAGAGGTGCCATGGTGCTGGCTGTCTCGGTGCTCAGATTGGTGTTGCGGGGTAGTGCTGTGATGCGGGGTGCGGGGGAGGGGTGCTATGGTTTGGTCGATGGGACCCGAGGGTGGTGACGCAAGGAGAAAAGTGTAAGAGAGTAGCAACCACTTTCGAGGGCCCTACCTCAGGCTATATAGAGAATTCCGTCTGGAGAATCCCCATCGTTCGGGTGCTCACAGGCGACGTAGACAATGTTGGGACGTCTCCAAGACGACCCGTCGTGTTGGATCGAGTCGGGCGCGTGGAAGTCGGGAGCAGGGAGGGTCCGGTTCCATTTCTAATTTATCCTCATTTAACCGTCTGGCCAGAATTCCGAGCAACAGACTTGGCGGGGCTGCGGGGCCTCTGCCGTGCCATGATCATGATGTTGGCGAGGTCTCTCTGGAGTTGAGATGGGTTCTCTTGGTGGGCTGTTGCTGTTCAGTCGCCGGCTGCGCCATTAACGGTTAATTCTGGTGCAGACAGATCCCGAGGTGGGCTGCCGTGCAGTGTGTAAGGTAGAAGACCCAGGATTTCGTCGCTGGGAGAAATCGCTGGCCGTATCGGTATCCACAACCTGTTGCGCTTCATGGTCCCCAATTGTTCTTCTGAGCTTCTGTGGATGTTCCTTGCGGGGGTGAAGGGGTTGCGGGGTCCTTCCAGGTTGTTTTATTCCGCCTGGCTGCCCTCTCCCCTGGTTAGTCATCCATATGCCAGCGCTTGGCAGCCCGGAGCTCTCGATGTCGACATCTGTCCCTGCCCACAACAGTGAATGGCGACAAAGTTGGGATTCCAGTCCGCAAACCGCCTGCGGGAGACTATCAGATTGGCGATCTGGAGCCTCGGCGAGACCTACGAAGGTAACTGGAGGTGATACTTTGCCTTATCGCGCCAGAGCTGATACTTTCGCGGTTGCGGTTGGCGATTGTGAGGCGATCGAGCTGTCGGCGCTCGGCAGGCGCCTTCCAGAGATTCTATGTCCTTGGAGTGGCCGGCGGCCTGAGATTCGCAGACATTCCGGAGGAATTGCACAGTTTACGGATTACTTCGTCGTTCCATCTTGCCCCATCGCGAGAACATGCAGTTGTGTCGCACCACCACAGCCCGGGAGCAATCACCACGGCTTCAGGCGCTAACAGCTACTGTAGTTGCCCACTTTCAGCCGCAGCGCCGGCCTTCAAGACGCACCTATCAGTTGCACCAGGCGACGCCACAAGATGCAGACCGACTTTGAGGCGATTGCTGCCATTGGACGTCTCGGTTCCTGCTACATCTATCATGGAATAGTTTCAAGCGCTGGAAGAGGGCGCTTCTATTGCCATGGGACCATGGCTTGTCTCGGAAGACACACGGCTGCCGGGTTGCCACAATACCAAAGACACGAAGACTCGTCGCTGTTCTTGCGATTATGCTCATGCTTATCACATATTACTAGTAGTGATTTGGCCTCAGAGTATCAAGAGACGCAGCCATGGGAGTTGCGCCCGTGTCTTCCCAGCGACAACGCCTGCGCCAACCTTGGCCGGCGCCTTTGGCCTCGCCCACCACCTCCAACTTCGTCAGACCGGCTATTTCGGCTACGACACGGATTCCTCTGTAGGTTCCTGCAGTTTTTTTCTTTTTCTATTTTTCCTTTTTTGTTTTTTTTTTTTTGTTTTTTGGATTGCTTCTCCTCAGACCCAAGGAGGCCATGAGCCTACCGTTAACATAGCCGTCAGAACTATGCCAAAGGCGCCCAGTGCACGGCTATCCTCAGCGGCTGTTATGATGGCTTCCTCACAAACACCAACTACAACGATGACGCGACATCATGCTACTGCACATGGGGCATGTCCTATCTCGACTGCTACTACTCTCAGGTGGCCACCGGGACTTGTGCCGAGTACTATTTGGTTCTGGGGGTGTCGATGGTTAGTTACACGCGACACTGCACGCGATCGAAGTGGCCAAGAGCACCGTTCTGCTAACACTCTCCAAGCGTACGGCGATTTTCAGCGGTCCTGGTATTCGGAATTCTGCGGGACCATTCCACCGAGTGCCATGGCTCACATACAGCCGCCGTGAGTCGATGCCCTTTGCGCTGTTCCCCAACGCAGAAACTGACTGGCTGGTCCTCTAGATCTAGTGTAGACCTGGATTTTGCGTATGTTGCTGCTCACGTTTTTTTCTCGCCTCGTTACTGACAACTGATACAGATCCGTCGATGTTGTCACAGCCACCGGCGTTATCAACCAACCTGACTATGACGGGCGGCCCCTCTGTGAAGGAACCGGGAAACTGCTGCGGGCCGAGTGCAGCGAAACTGGCTTCACGCTTGTCGATGCCGGTAACACTGTCTACTATGCAGGGTTTATGGGTTGTGTCAAGGACAGACCAAATTGTTGTCCGTGGGCTGTGGTTCCTGCAACGGCCAAAGCCCAGGACAACAACCGCGTGTACGACTTCCCGACACCAGTCAACGATGGCCTGGCTCGACTTCCGAGCTGCGCCGACGATTACTACTCTATCTCTGGCGGATGCTGCCCGACGTATGTGTCCAGCTGCCCCTCGTATTCCTACCGTTAATGGGGATACTGACCCGGACACAGCGGATTCTGGACTTTTACCGAAGAAGTCGGGGGAATTACGCCCTGCTGGAGCTCCATCCGCAGTGTTGAACCTCCCACCCTTACTGTCGAGAAGGACGCACGAACCAAAGACAAACCGACGTCAGCGGTTGTAAACATCGTGTGGGCGATGCGCTATCCCGTCGCCGACTCCTCTGGGGGCGGGCCGGCCTCTCGACGGCCGCCAAGGCAGGCATTGGCGCTGGAGCCGGCGTCGCAGCTATCCTCATCGGCGGTCTCGCGATCTGTCTCTGGCGGGCTCGTCGCAAAACCAAGAAGCTAGCCGAAGCCCGGCCAGCTACCCTCCCTCCTCCCATGGTGTCAGATCCGAATGGCCCGTACCCCGCTGCCGCCTTCTCGCCGGGAATGCTACCGCCAGGCAAGGTACCCTCCCTATCCGACCGTGCCAGCATCATGACCAGCACAACCCTCGTCTCTCCATTGGCGTTGGCCCCGCAGCACACGGGCGCCTCGGCCGGCGGCGGCATCAGCGAGCTGAGCGGTTCCCAGAATGGCCAGCATGCCCTCCATAACAGCCAGCCGGGCAGCGGTTACTTTCCCCACGCGGCAGCACCAAATCCACGTGTCTCGTATGGCGCCGTCAGTCCGGCGGTGGGCAACCCCCGAGCAGGGATACCCGGCTCCGATTGCCGAGGCGGACGAGGACAGGCGCAGTATGCGGGGTATGGCTACCACCACCAGCAGCATCCTCAGCAGCAGCAGCAGCAGTATTATGGTGTTTCGGGCCAGGGGCAGGGGCAGGGGCAGGGACAGTACTATTATCCTCAAGCCCAAGGGGAGGATGTCTATCCCCATCAGCACCAACAGCAACACGGCTACTCGCACAATGTGCACGAGATGAGCGCCAACCGGGAATCGGACCCGCCGCAGGAGGTTATGGGGAGTGAGGTGCAGCAGCATCGGACGAATGGTTAGCGGAGGGGTGTGGGTAAAACGGTGTCTTTGGGCATCGTGTGACCACGGGTAATCTGGTATGGAAGGGTACCTAGGTAATCTGGTAATGATATGACGATGTTTTTGCCCTTTACTTGCCTTCCTCAGCATCATAAGGCAGGGAGGTAGGGCTTGTGACGATTTCCTGTCCACAGGACATCTACGCAGCTCTCTGCTTGATAACCACACAAGCTGAAGCATAATAGAAGTGGCGGCCCGGGCACGGTAGTCCTATGGAGGTCGTAGAGGATGTGCGCATGGACTGAAGCGGAATAGAAACCGGGATGGTGCTGGTCTGGCACAGAGTTCGTGGCTGCTTGGGTCCTAGAACGTCGGGTAGGGAGCTACTATCGGAAAGCCACTGTGAGGGGACTCTTCCGGAAGTCTGCTATATATGGGTTTCAAGGCCAATTTAGTCTTCCATATGCATGCCACGTGGGCTATTGGATACGCTTCGGGCTGGCGTGCCGCCCTCGTTGTATACCTTCAGGTAGAATTCCCGAAGTGGAAATTGGAATTTGGCATTGCAAACGTCTACTGCAGCTTCGGTATGCCGGCAGAGGATGGCTGTGGCCTTGGTAACCATCCAGCGAGCTGGTAAGGCGAAATAGTCGATTGGACAATGCTTGTTCGTTGTCCGGAAATGCAAGCTGCAAGTTACAAGTCTGCAGAGTCTGCAGACGGCGACTCTCGGGTGCGACCTGGATGGGTGATCCCCACCTCCTCATGTGCCTCTGCCCAGGATTGCAGCCTTGTCTTTCGGCGCCTCAAAGCCCTACTTGTAGGGGATCGGAACGCCAGCGAGGGAATAGCCGGCTCTTCGCTTGAATTTCGCCAGAAACCCACGTCTGCTTCGTTGCGACAACGATGGGTTCTTTGTCCAACAAATCTTGACTTCGAAGCCCTGCTCGTTGTAGTCTTGTTCCGGTCATTATGGCTTCACTGGGCTTGAGTCTCCCCTCCTCCGAAGTCACGTTTCCTCATGTGTCGGTCTGAGGTCTGACCGCCCTGCCTCACCTTGCGGGCTTTTTCCTACAACGCGCCACTCAAGCCAAAGTCTTGCATCACTTCTTACGTGACCGGTCTGGAGCTACACCGATAGTCAGTTTGCTGTGAAGCTGCACCTCCCATAGAGGTATCTGGTCCCAAGCCTTGACAGGGGAAGGCAGTGTGTTGTCAGTCATCATGATGATTGCAACGGATGATGCGAGGCCCTCGGCCTTCCGTGCCCTCGATCAGCCTCCCTACGTGCGGTTTCGAGGCATGTCTCTCAGCCATCCCTCTGATATCAGCGGCGCAACATCTCAGCTGACCGTGCCACCAACGATGCTCGCAGAGGACGGCAACTCCTTGGGGCCCCGGGTGCTCGATGATACGATGAGCCGTGACGCTCTTCCGAAATCGTTCAATATCCACGTCGACACGGGCAATCCCGAGCCAGGCCCTCAGGAGTACCGCCAGCCCGTCAAGGAGTATGGAGAACAGTGGGACTGGGATGCGGATGTTCAGGACTACGTTAGATACACGAAAGGTGAGGGGAAGACCAGCTCTCAACCCATTCACCAAAAAAACCCAGGGACTGATTCCAGGACACAGACGGCACAAAGCTCCTCTACACGAACTACCAGCGGGAAGGAAGCCCGCCGGCATCTTCACCACAGCCAAGCGAGGACCAGCACGAGTTCCAAGTCAAACCAAGGTCGCCTGAACTGGGCTGCGTCAAAGCAGTGAAGCCAGCAGCCCCTTCATACGACCAACCTTTGGGCGATGGTGTGTCATGTGCAACGCATTCCATTCCAAAGCTAACAAATTCCCCCAGAATTCCAAGTGGTAGCCAAGCCCAAGCGCTTCTTCTGCATCGGCCGCATCTTCAAGGCCGTCTGGTTCGAGCCCGGCGCGGCCGACCCACCAGCATCCCGGCCCAAATCGAGCGCTGGGGGAGGAGGTGCCATCGGACTGCCGTGGACGACCAAGTGCCCCGGCTTCCACGGGGAGAAGCCGGTCGCGCGGTTTCGCTGGTTCGTTGTGGTGCGCCGGCGGCTGCACCACTCGCTGTGCTTCAGCATCACGACATTTGCTGGGAGCAAAGGCGGCAGCCGCGGCCGGCCAGCCGACTATGTGGTGCTGCACAACTCCAACGTCAAGCCCGCGCGGCCGTACGACGAGGAGGAGATCACGCGGGATCCGATTGCCGTTATTATCGAGGATGAGGAGCAGTACATCTCACCGATTGCGAGGCTCGACTGCGGAAGGATTTATACGGTTGAGGATAATCTGAGGGTTTCCAAGATTGGGCGGGTGCACCCGGCTTCGCTGCCGTTGCTGGAGGAGTTTTACAAAGAGTCCGTGGCGTGATCGGATCATCTCAAGAGCTCTCCGTCTATACTGCTGTTTCGCCCCTTGAATGGACGATAAGTTGGAAACACAGCCTACTCTAGTCAGTTGAGTCGTCAATTCGTGAATAGACTTCAGTCTCTCTTAACTCACCCCGTCCAATCCAGACTGTCCCAGACCCAAATCGAGAAATTCAGGTACCTCAGAAGTCCTGTATCCCCGTCTCCCCCCTGAGCGCCTTCCCCCTCCCACCTCCGGCATCCTCCTCCTCGTCGCCACTCGCAGCAACCCACCCGGGATCCTCCTCATCAAACCAGGCCTCCTCCATATCCTCTCTCTCCAGCACATCGTACTGGTCGTCCTCATCCACCAGGGCATAGTCAAAATCTTCGTCCTCGCCGCGGATGAACCGGTCCCGCAGGTACGCCTCCCACTGCGCCCGCCCTTCGTCCCGCGTCTTGGGCGGCGCCGTGAGCTCCGCGTTGAGGCTGCTGAAGGTCGTCGTCCCTCGCAACATCGCTCCCTTTCCATTATCTTCTGCCGTGATTTCCTTACCACCGTCACCACCTCCGCCATTGCCGTTGCCGTTGCCGCTGCTGCAGGACGAAGGCGTCGTCACAGTAGTAGAAGAAAAGGGAGAACAACCTGTTGCTACTGGACGGGGTAGTGGTTCTTCTGCGTTCTTGTCGACCGTCTGCTCGCGCAGCTTGGCCAGCCTTTCCTCGCCCCGCAGCAGCGATCCTTCCAGTACGCGGGCGTAGCCCTTTGCGCGGCCCTCGGCTTCGCGCTCTGCAGGGGTCTGAAAGCGCCGGATGAGGAAGTCGTAGAGCAGCGGGTCAACATGGATGGGTTAGTATTCAGGGATGGATGATATGGGGACGTCGGGTTTGTGGTAGAGAAGGTCGGCTGGAAAAGGGGTTTCCTTGATGATAAAGAACGGCAAACTGGATGATGGATGCATGACACATGTGAAGATATATGGGTTACTCACCTGCAAGCTCATGTTCGTCTGACTGGAAGTAATTTGGGTGGTTCTCCAGATATGCCCTCCTTCTGTTCTGGGCTCTGATCTTGGCTGAGTGACCTGGCGACCTCGGCGGCCGTGGCCGGGGCCGTGAAAATGGGTCTGGGCTGGGTGGAGGTGAGTCGAAGAGGGGAGCCATGGGGGAGTTGTATTCAGATTGTAGAAGCATAAACTAATGATTTGGGTGGAGTGAGACGCTCAGATTGATAAGATGCAAATGTGAGGTTCGAAGTGGCAAGACATCCAACCTGGGAGTTCGTTGAATTAACGAGGCGAATGGAGTGTCAGATGAGCTAAGTCGTGAAGTGAGTGGCCCGCTGAATTCGGGCTCAAGAGCGCTGTGGGCAGCGGGGTTCCAGGCTCTCCCTCAAAAGCAACCCTCTGGGGCTCAGGATCCTGGGCAGGGAATGCCTTATAACCTGGAAGTCAAGTCAACATCAAAGCATAATGCTAGCGAACTTCGGAAAATAAAGGGTTGGATTCAGTATTAGCACTCTATTGTTGTATTAGGTTGTCTATCGAGTCTATCAGATCGCAATCCAACCGAATACTCCCACACTGATCAAATCCAACACAGCCGCAAACGCAGCTAACAAACCTAAACCCATGGTATCATAACAATCAGTAATCCTGTACCTGCTCTTCCCAAAAAGCTCTCCAGAACGCCATCAACAACCCAACAAGCCATGTCAAAGCCAACTCACGCAGCCATGATGCTCCGCCCACCATCCGCAGTCGTCCGGCTGCGGATCCGCACCTTCAACACCCCATGCGCCAGCCGCTTCACCTCGCCCTTCCCGTCCTTCCTCTTCTTCACCCCAACAATAGCACTCGGCGCAAACATCAGCGCCTCTCCAACCCTCAAGTCCACGATCCTCGAGAACAGCTCCAACGCCGGGTCAGCATCGCCCAGCGCCAGCGCCCCGGCTCCGTCGACCCCATTATCCCCCTCCTCATCACCCGTGTTCAGCCTCCTTGCCTTCTCCAACAGCTTACCGCCAGACGACACCCCGGCAAGATGTTTCCTGAGTACATTCAGCCAGTCGGGCGACGTGAACCGGTGCACGATCGTGACGCTGCACAGGTCCAGCAGCTTGGGGCTGATGGTGGGCTCCTGCGTCGAGATGACGACCCGCGCGCCGAGGTGCCGCTGCAGCCGGATGGTAGCCAGCAGCGCCTCGGTCAAGGCTGCGCACTCCTGCGAATCCGTCATGTATTTGTGCGCCTCGTCCAGCGCAATGATCAGCCCGACGGCCGCCGAGTCCTGCTCGAGGAAGAGCGAGAGGCAGATGTTGAAGAGGGAGCAGGCCATTTCGGGTGTGACACAGGGACAGGACAAGTCGACGATGGTCAGATGCCCGTTTTTCGGTGTCCAGGACGTGCCTTCAGCTGCGGCGTACTTCTTGGTCTTCTGCCTTAGTTGGCCGGATGCGAACATGTTGTACGCCTTGGCTTGGTCCTCTACCATGAAGGACTCGAGAGTCTCCAGTCGCTGTTTCAAAGGCGCCAGCTGCATGTCGGTGAGGTTCTCCAAAGCCAGGCTGCGCTTGAATGCTGTGTAGCTGAACCCGGTGTCGGTCTTTTGCTGCGTGACGCGCAGATCGCGCAGGATGCGCTGCGCGACGTGGAGGTACAGGGGCAAGTTGCCACCTGCCGCGACGGCCATCAGATCCAGCATGCGCTTCGTGTTGAGGTCAGACTCATTGAGCCGCAGCTCTTCCACCGTGATGTTCGGAAACTGCTTGTAAATTTTCTGGAAGATACGGTTAAATGCGAAGTGACCTCTCGTGTGAGTCCAAAACGTACCTGCATCGTCCGGACATTGGTCGGGGGGCATAGCACCCGCACCTTGATGTCCGGGTTGGACGACAACCAGGCCACTTCGCAGGGGGAGCCGCCGGAATCCGAAATGAAGGTATCGTAGTGGAATACGATTCCTGTCAAAGGCCGAGGGAGGACATTTGCATCGCAGGGCGCCAGAGCATTCTCTAGCAGGCAGGACAGGGAATGGCTCTTTCCAGATCCCTGGCTACCGCAAATGAAGAAGCTGGAGGGCGTGGCTACGTTCCAAAAGATGCGGGGATCCGGCCGTTCCTCCGCGTTGCCGGAGAGATCGCCAGCCAGCAGGCCGTACTGGCTGAAAGGCTTCTCGTTGTTGGCGCCGGCCAGTGAGAGTGCATATTTGCGGACGGCTTCAGTGAAAATTGGTGTCGTCTTGATCTCGTTGAGTTCATCCAACTCAGGGCATCGCTCCAGCAGGCCAAGGTGGACGTTTAGGACAGAGTCCTCATCGCTAGTGAGCCCGGACTTCGCGCTCATCTCTTCTCGACTGCTCTCCTCGGCCGTGTCGTCTTCCTCACCGCGGGTTTGGTATGTCCTCCTGGCTGAGAGAGAGGAGGATGATGTTGTGGAGAGTGAGGCGGCGGAACCCTTGTTGCTTCTCCTGTCGCGCCTTTCCCCGGGTATCTTGAGGCTGGTCATGGAGCTGGTGAGACTGTCCATGGCCTGAGACAAACTGCTCGAGTCTGATGGCATCCTTCGGCCAGTATCTCGCGGATACCGTAGACCGGTCAAGTTGAAGGTTGGGAGAGCGGACGAGTCCAATTTCGGTGTGGCAGCGGGACTCTTGGGAATCCCGTCAGGGCGTGGGGCCTTGAAAGTAAAAGAAGAGACACCAGTGCCACTTATAGAACTAGCTGAGGGTGAAGCCAGCTCCACAGGCTTGGAGACGAAAGTCTTGTTTGTATGTTTGAAGAGGGAGGTCGGCTTGCGGCCCTTCTTCTTTTTCTGCCCTGAGTCGTGACTGGAGGGAGAGGAAACGAAACCAGCTTTTGAGCCCATCTTGAGGACCTATAGCTAAGCAAAGCTCCGGTACGTGATAACTGTTGCTTGAGGCAAAGAGTGGCTCATTGGCAGTTGAGCAAACAGCAGAAGTCGGTGAACGGGAAGGGAGCAATAACGAAGGGCGGCAGCTCGCAGAACCAGCCAGATCGAGACTCAAAGCAAAAGAAAGCAAAACTCATGAGAGGTGCCAGCTAAGAGTGCTGCAAGCAAACAATGCAATGAGGCCTACGAGATGCCAGGTTGAGTGCAGGAGATGATGGTCTCAAAGTTGCCTTGGTGAAGCAGACCTGAACAAAGCTAATAAACAGCCCCGATTGTGGGGAACTTCAAATCCTGACTTGCCCGATTGGGACGGAAGGGCAGCGACTTACAAGTCCCGTCACAGCCCAGGAGATGTGCCAGACTAGCAGTTGCGACTGTTGAAACCATCTTGTTGAACTTTCAGATACAGGTATTTTGATAAGGTAGTGTACATCACTCCGTAACCTCTCAGAAAACTGAAGGCTTCGACAGCAAGGCAGGTGCTGGCACTAGCTGTGTAATAATAGAGGCTTCATGTCTCGACGATCAGAAGTTGAGGACTATCTTCCTTCACGCTGACTACTCATGGCACGTTAATACTTGTTGACGGAAGTTGCTGTTTTGAAGAGAATATTGTCAATCAGCTCTGCCATGCGTAAAGAAACAATCTGCTTTCACTCTGGGATGCAATTCCATACATCCGCAGTCTTTCAAGAGCCATCTTGGGTGAAGGTAGTTCAGCTTCTGCCCAATCGATAGCTGTCGAATCTTATCGTGCAACCCAGAAAGTGCTTCAAACGGCGATCGGAAAGTTCTCCGGCAGGATCCACAGCAACTAAAAAACTCTATAGGACGGAGTAACATCCGTCGTTATTCGCGTTACCGTTAGTAACTTGACCGTTGAATAATCTGACCACCCTGGCCCTAATACCGGTATGCAATCCCCTACCTAGTAGTCACTAGTATGAGTAAGAAGACGGTATCCGTATTACGTTTCGCTCCACATAGAAAGATGAAACACCTGGATCAGGTCATTTATTAGATTCTCAAGATTGCACGTGTTTTTGGAGTGCACACTGCAAAAGATTGGCCATACAGATCCGTACACCTTACATGCGGAGTAAACACTCCGTCGGCACTGGCAGCCATCTGTATTGGTACTCCGTAGCTCCTCATTTCCCGAGCAGGGGTTGAGGTGCCACCGGAGCTCCGCAAGCTATTGCGGTACGATGTTTGGACGGGACCTTATCGCCAACCCGAAACACCCGTCGGCTAGATCACGCTCAGAACCTTTGCGGGCAACCATCCGGAACGGGAGCGAGCTTCCCGTACTCTGCTTGTTTTGACTTCCATCTCCTCGCAAAGGGCCATGCTGTGATTAAGCCTCCAGACTTTCAGCCATACTCCGGGCACCTCGACCTTCTGCTAGCCATTTGACAGCGGCCAGAGCGCCGCCCTGGCCTGCGTTTTGGATTCCACCATCTTTGGGCTCCCCGCGATGGGGGACCTCAAATCCAAGTTGCGAGCTAAGATTTCGCGACGACATTCCGGCATCCCGCCGCTCCCGTCCAACGGAACCGGCAACCAGAAGAGCAACATCAGCAGCCACAGTGCCGAGTCGGACTCGGCAGCGACCGGCGGCCGTGCCAAAGATGCAGTGACAGGCCATGACGACAGCCACATTCAGCAATCGACGAGCACACCAGGCGACCAATTGACAGACAAGCAGAAACAAGACGCGGAGCAGAACCCATCAGAACCGGTTGCACCCGTCGGCGATGCGGCCAGCGGGAAACATGGCGGCCGTGCTCTCCCTGACAACGCCGCTAACAGCGTGCCTGTCCCTGCCTCAGCTACCCCTGGCGATGGGCACGGCCTGAATCGCAATGATCCTCGCACCCAAATCGCCGGCAAACTCTCCAGCGACAACCGAAAACGGCCCGACCCAAGCCACTCGTCATCGTCGTCAACAGTTCATCCCGCTGCCGCTGCCGCTGACCAGCCCAAGCCTAGAGTCTCCACCGATGCTGCCCGCAATGCTCGTCTGAACGATCGTCCCGTTAGCGCAGGCCTCTCCAGCTCGACCTCTCGACCCGCTGTGCCTGCTCCTCCATCCTCCGCCCATCAAGACTTGGTGGAACCGGTGCCAAACGCCCAATTGCCCCCGTCAAATCCGCAGAACCGTCCACCCGGCCCGCCGAGAAGGCAAAGCCTGCTACCCGGCCGACAAACTACGCTAATTCGGACCCTGCTCAACGGCGGGCAGCTTGATGACCTCGACCAGGGCGTCGCCGATCAATTGTTGCCCATCAGCGCAACCATGGTGACGCGCAAGCTCTGGGTCAAGCGGCCCGGCGCATCGGCGACCATAGTAACCATCAACGAGGAGGACTTGGTGGACGACGTCCGCGAGCTGATCCTGCGCAAATACGCCAATTCCCTCGGTCGCCAGTTCGATGCCCCGGACCTGACGCTGCGCATAGTGCCACGCGAGGGGCAAAGGCAAGAACGGGTTCTGGGACCCGAAGAACCCATTGCCCGTACGCTAGACGCGTACTTCCCCGGCGGACAGACGGTGGACGAGGCCTTGCTTATCGACGTACCACATCGGCGCACTCCACGGGTGTCTCCGAGAAACGGGCCGCCGCACGCTCAGCATATCACGTCCGTCAGCTACGAAGACATCCGACCCCTCGAGGCGAGCACCGATTACTTTGGACCCGGCGCCATTGCCCACATCCCCGTTACGATTGCTGGCGCTCCAAACGGTCCCACGCACGCCATATCCGTCATCAACACAGGACATGTACCTCAGATCCCCTCCCCCGGCGGCACGAGACCACGCCAATACCGGGAAAGGTCTGATAGGCCGCGGGTAGCGAGGCAACATACATCGTCTCCGACTATTCTCAACGTGGTCGGCGCTGGGGGCCACCCGGCCACTCTTGCCGTTGCCTCAAGCCATGGTACGCATTGAGCGGGTTAACAGCCATGTATTCCTGGGACTGACTCGAACTGTTCACTACAGAACAAGTGAACGCACAAGCGGCACCACCCGCTCCTCCTCTGCCAACGCCACCGACACATGAATCGACGGCTGTATCTATCCCCCGAACTGGCACACCACCACCTCGAGCGTCCTCGCCTCGTCCCCCTGCAACGACCCGGCAAAAGAAGAAGAAGCCAGCGGACCCCCCCACGTTGCCGGCCGGAATGCTCAACGGCGGCGTGCCGCCAATCAATGTCTTGATTGTCGAAGACAACATCATCAACCTGCGCCTACTCGAAGCCTTCGTCAAGCGGCTCAAAGTGCGCTGGGAGACTGCTATGAACGGTCGCGAGGCGGTCAACAAGTGGCGCGGCGGTGGGTTCCATCTGGTGCTGATGGATATTCAACTGCCCGTCATGAGCGGACTGGAAGCCACGCGGGAGATCCGCCGACTGGAGCGCATGAACTCGATTGGAGCCTTTTCCACGGCAAACAGCAACGCAGACGACAACAAAGGAGACGAGGCGGACGAGCCGAAGAGCGAGATAGCCGAGGAGGACAAGCTGGAGAAGAGGGAAATGTTCAAGAGTCCTGTTATTATCGTCGCCCTGACAGCGAGCTCTCTGCAGAGCGACCGGCACGAGGCACTGGCTGCGGGGTGTAATGACTTCTTGACCAAGGTATGTCACGTTGTGAACACATCTCATGCAGAGTACAGCCCTCGCTGACACTGTCCTAGCCTGTTACATATGTCTGGCTTGAGCGCAAGGTTATGGAATGGGGCTGCATGCAGGCCTTGATCGACTTTGACGGCTGGCGAAAGTGGAAGTCGTACTCCCAGGATGGTGTCGCGGAAGAGTCGTCTACGAAGAAGGCCAAGTCTAAGAAGAACCGGGCGGCCGGAGCTCCCAACAGCTCCTCTTCGGATGGCCAGTGAAGGCGCTGTTCCCATTGCGCTCCTCCACTCTTGAAATCAGTGTCTTCCCGGCGAAGATTGCACAGCAGCTCTTTGTTTTTTGGAAGTTCTTTTACTGACATAAAAGGGTGTGGGTCAGGGGCTGGAGTTGATTTGAGTAGTCGATGAAGCTATGCTCGAAGGTTATAATGGAAGAAACAGAGAAGGGACCTGCAGTCGGGCTGCGGACTGGTGTGCATATGGATTATGTGGCAGTCGCCCAGCTCATGATGAGGATTAGAGAAATGGCCTGATTTGTCGAGCACAGAAGGAGAAAGAGAAGCTACATCAGAAGGTCGGAGCGAGTAAGGTATTGGAGTATTTGGCTTGGGCTTCACATCCCCGTGTTGTGGAAGCACCTGTTCCTTAACGGTTTGGCTGTGTCAAGGACATCAGCAAACCTGTTGGTCTGAACGCTAACCTTGCCTCACTTTGCACTTCGGCTTTGGAGAAGGTCAATTCGATGTTCAAGTTTTGGGAAACCCTAACCCTGCCTTCTCCTCTTCCGAATTCGATTGGACAACCCAACTAGTGCGGGTCTCCTTCGCCTGTCGAGCCCAAGAAAATTCCAATTCGAGTCCCGAGCTCAACCTCCAAATCCTCCCCACTACTCCGTACGCCAGATACATACCACAGCCATGCCTCCCCGGATACGCAGCAGCAGCCACCAACCGCAGCAGCTTCTCAACTACCTCGAATCTTCGCCTTCCTTCTCTCTCTCGCCTGCCTCCGCCCTCGCGCCATTACACAGGCCGACACCGACAACGACGGCGACGATCTCCCCGTCACCACCGCCATGCAGTAGACGGTCCTTTTCGGCGACGCCGGCGGTCCAGTTGACGCGCATGCGACGCAAATTCAAGGACTGGTGCGTCAACAATGCCCTGTTCCGGGAACCTTCACCGGACGGCAGCACAAACTATGTCAGCCGGGTGATCTCCCAGTCGGACTGGAACAAGGTCTCGGCCGACATGCCGTTCCCCAACAACCCCCAATTCCGCAGCCAGCCCGTGCTCTCGGAGAAGGCGCGCGAGATGATCTGGGAGGCCGTCATGGTCAAGGGCATGCCGCTCAAGGCCGTGTCGGCGCAGTTCCATGTGGATATGCGCCGCGTCGCGGCCGTGGTGAGGATGAAGGAGATTGAGAAGAAATGGGAGCGTGAGGTGAGATTTTCTTTCCCAATTTTGCCGTCGTCTTTGCGCCTGGCTTCTGTGATGAGATGCAACACAATATTCGATTAGTCTTGAAGACTCAACCGTGGTTAAACAATGCTCCATGTCTGATAACAAAAATCTTCCCTTCTGTTATTCGACTACTCAACTGCAAGAGACCAAACCGGTTGGCTGACGGTTCTCTCTCCAACAGAACAAGCCCATGGCGTACCCCTACGCGCGCGCCATTCTGGGCATGCTCCCGCGCGCGAACTTCCTCCAGGGCGAGCCGCCGTTCGAGCCCATCAACGACATCCACGTGCACAGCTACACGATGCAGCAGCTCTTCGTGCCGACGTCCGAGTCGCGCGAGTTCACGCGCGCAGACGCCGCCAAGGCCTTTGGCGACCACATCCTGCCCCCCGACGACAAGATGCGCATCCCCGAGCTGGTGGCCATGGAGCGGAAGATTGCCGACGGCATGGAGCCGCGCGATGCGGAGAGGGAGTTTATCCGCGAGGCGCGCGAGAGCGAGCAGGCATTCGCCGCCAAGCAGCAGGCGCGGCTGCAGGCCGCGGAGGAGAGGCGCATCCGTGTCGACTCGGGCCGGGGAATCGAGTTTCGGTTCGAGAAGATCAACGCCGAGGATGTGGGTCCCACGGGCCGGTCGAGGCGGGGTGTGGGTTGGCGCTATGGCGTGCCATTTATGGATCGCAAGAGAGGCCAGGTCAAGATTCCCACCAGTGTGGAGTGAACTCGAGGATGGGGTTTCAGCCACACGGCAGGGGTGTGGTTTGGTTTCTTATGGACCGAGCCGGTGTATCCAGGGCAATCTGGCAACCAGCGGTGCCAACGCTTGTATGATCTCTTAGTTCTATCTAGACAAGGTATGCAGAAGGCGGCCTTGTGGTGTATAGCGGTCTATATCTTGTATCATAGCAACCTTGGAATTCAAGTAGCAACTACAGATGTGGTTTCTCCAGGAGGCCGGCGTGGCTCCGCCAGTCTAGTGCCTTCTCGCCCTCGGCAAGGTCGACGACAAGGTTCTTACGGAGCTGCTCGACGGTTGCCTGGGATATGTGGAGCTTGTCGAGAACATAATCCTCGACGGAGCCGTACTCCTTGCGAAGGAACTTCAGCGTCTGGAGCATAACCTCCTTACTGGTGATGCCCGGACAAAGTCAGCGACCCTCTACCATGATTCGCTCTCATACCGCCGCAACGACAACCGAAGGATGAACAGGAATAGAAAGAAGACGAAAAGGAGAAGAGACAGGGAAGATAAAAAAAAGAGAAGAAACGTACGGCGCGCTGACCATCTTCTCGGCCCTTTCCCGATCCCCTTGGAATGGGTACACGGTCAGCCGCTGCACGATCGCCTCTCGGCGAGGGGCCAAACCCAGGTTGGTCAGGCTGTACTCGTGGGCGATGACTTCGTCTTCAAGGCCGCAGAGGGCCAGGATGAGGGCTACGATGACGCCTGTTCCTGTTGCGGGGTGTTAGATGGTGTATGCTGATGAGGTGGAGCGGGAAATGACATAGGGGACAGTTGGGGTGGGCGGGAGGATGGGAGAATGAGGAGACAGGGCTGGAGGTGGAGGTGGAAGATTGGGGAAGGGAAAGGGAGGAGTGTAACGGGCCACTTCCTGTCCTTGCCGGCGCTGCAATGTATCAGCACTGGTGACGGGACCGTTGGTGAGGCGAGATGGTGGAGGATGGTCTGAAAAGGCTTGGATGGGTGGTCTTCGTGGGCGGCGGTGGCCAAGATGGAGGCGTACGCCTTCACGAAACCCTGTATCCGGGTGTTAGCATCGGGCGGATTGATGCAAGATGAGAGATTTATCTCATGTCTCGTGGGTTGCTGCGGCTTTCGGCGTCACGAAGGTACAGAGGCGGGGGGTGGTTATGCGCCGGGCAATTCATGGAGTCATGTGATATGTCGGCGGTGGGAGTTTGTACCAGGCCGCGGATGGCCTATCTTGCGCCCTTTTCCCGGTTCGGCCCCACCGCCTCAGGTTGCAAACCTTACGGACTTTCTGCAAGGGCAATGTCTCCCGCGCATCCACCGAAACCATCGCCGGAGGCAACAGGAGGACTCTATAGGACAGGGGATGATCAACTGACCTCTGGCCCATCGCCGTACTGGCCGAAGCGGGCAGCGATGGCCGCCGGACTGTAATCCTCATCTAAAAAGACGGGCGCAAAGATACGGTTGGCCCCCTCCCAGGTCTTTAATGCCTCCCCGCCGTGCTCTTTGCGGGACCTGAGATCAAATACTTGGGTGATGCCGAGCTGCTTGAGAGTAGAGATCCCTTCGTCGCCAAGGTCGTTGAGGTGGGCCGAGCGAAAGAGCACGCCGCGCCTGATGACCTTGCCCGGATTGCTTTGGATGGCATATCCGCCTGCATCGCGCATGTTGACGAGGCCCGGTGCGTTTATGAATGGAGGTGAGGGAAGGTCGGTGTTCGCCGGCGCCCGGTCTGAGGGCGAGTTGGGGTGGGACATTGGTGGTGGTTTCTGCCGACTGCCAGCTGGTCTGTAACCGGGCCGAGATCGAGTGCCTTTCCTGAAGTTTGAAGGTGTACGCAGTGCAATTGCAGGCAACAGCTTTCTGTATCACAGCCGTTCTAATGCTCGCAATAGCCGGCCGGTTGGATCACCTGGGATCTGGTGATGTGGTTGGCAGCACAAGGGACATTTTGGACCAACTGAGAGGATAGCGTAACCAGCAGGGCCCACCCAGCCAAATACCGCTCTACTGTTGAGGAGCAACAGGGGCTGGGAACAAATTACTGTATTGAACAGGATCAAACCGATGCCCACCACTGGAGAAAAAAAAAAGGGAGGATCAACGACCTTCAATAAGAAATCACTTGGTGGTCTGGAGCACCCAACACACTGTCGTGACCTCTCGTCGGTGTAACACCATGGAATCGTGGGTGTTGATTTTCCAACACCTCCATCCTCACGTGCCTTGGAATTACCCTTTTTTCCGCGATGTGGGGCCAAAGAAAACGCTGCTGGAAAGCCAGTATCTGAAGACTTCGACGAGTTCACCAAAGGGAAACAATAATTACCAACAGTCTCAGGCATCGAGACATGCACATTACATGAGGGCATGTGGTTCGCGGGGCAGATCCGGGGATCGAACACGGGCGGCGCTTAAAATGCAAACCGACATTGACCAATCGGTTGCTGCGACCTTCGAGAACAGCAACCCCTCTATTGACATTACACCACCCATCCTTTTGCCCCTCCTTGAAAGGATGACCGAGCTGCCTCGCAAAGAACCGGTGAGAGTCCTGGCGGTTGGCATTAGTTCAATGATGCCTTGCCACCTCATAAGCCCACTTTGGCCGGGGTTCCCGGGTGTTGCCTGACAGCCTCGTGCGGGCTGATGGAGAAGCATCATCCAGCTCAGCGTCTGGTGTTCATGATGAGGGACTAAAAGGACCTTCAACGCGTTTCCTGAATAGGTATGACGAAACAACCAAATCCACGTTTCGGGGCCGATGCAGTGAGACACTCCCATGACGAACAAAGTTGGCTTCAGCGATATACAAAAACCTTGCTTCCGATTCCCGTTTCCCGGGCGTTGGGTTGGCGGGAAGCCTACCGGTATGCCCCGGCTGGTCTGTGCCGTTGCTGATCAGCCCATCTCGTGGTACAACATGAGTCTGCAGGAACATGCCGTTACAAATGTCATGTGAGCCTCGTCGGGGGCACAGGCAGGCACTGCCCAGAGCACTCCCGCCTTATTGTTGAGACAACCCCCTGTTTTTTTCTGTCTAGCTCATGCAATCTCAAGCTCGGCTGTTGCTCCAAGAAGCGAGAGATAAGCCGGGCCACGGGCGTCAACTTGAGCTTCGCACCTGCGACTACCGTAACTGGGCTCCAGTCCCAGTTCACGTAAGTTGTCATATGTGTCTGGAATAGCAGCCTTCTTGGAAGCACGAGCGGACACTGTCAGAGAGAAAGTCGAATCTCGAAAGCAAACTGCTATATTGCGCCTAGTAGAAAGAATGAAAATACAACCAAGGGGGAAAGAAACACCACAAGCCTAAATCCACTATCCTCTGTCTAGCCCCTGAACCGCCTGCCAAATCGCCAACGACCAGATCCCAAAGCATCCACCAATTCCAAACAGGGGGACTCTCTCCGACAGTTCAACCAGTGACGTGTCAGGAAGGTAGGTATAGTGTGTGGCAGTGAGCCCGTGAAATATATCGGCCGATGACGCCAAACTCTCCGTGTAGCGGAACAAGTAACACAAAGAACTAAGGCAAGCAAGAACAGAAAAAACAAGGCGAAGGAACCCACCAAACTAACCCCGAGCCTTCGAATCCAGACCTAACAGCCAAACATTCCTCCCAGCCCGACACCGCAACTCAACCTCGTCCACGCCGGTAGGGACCCGGCGACTCAAAGGTCGCGAGCCAACCTCCAAATTGCCAACTATAAGTGAGAGAACAAGGTCCATATAGAAACCGACGAGGAGAAGCCATGTTGCCATGTTGTCGACAATCCGACTCAATCAACCAAGTGTGAGCAAAATCGATTCACCCCTTCCAGTCCCCATGGAAGAAGGAATCACATAGCTGAAGATATCTGGCTCAAGCTTTCTTCGGCGCTTGGCCCTCGCGGGGTTGACGGATCTCGAGTTCGCATTCCCCGCGCTTGAACTTGTGCTCACACGGCCCATCGGGCGTCGAGTGGCAGCACACCGTGTTGGTCGGCCAGTAGTTGGTTTGCTTGCAGTTGCAGCACGTCCAGACGTAGGACGGCTGCCCGTTGGGTTTCTGTTGCGGTAGATGGGTGGTTAGGAAAGCACCTGAGCTGGGACCAAATATGAAAAAGTAACCTACGTTGGGTTGCGTGGGGTGATTCGGCATCTTGGATGGGTTGGTTAGTTGCTCTTGCGGTGGCTGGGGAGGTCTTGATGGCCCGTTGAGGTTTCTGGAGTAAGGCTTTTTTGACTTTTGTCGAGTAGTGATAGTTGTCGATGAGTTCATCCTCCATTCTCCCAGACTTCCCCGGGGCGATTGACCCGTTTTAAGTCAGAGCCCATCGTAGACTACACTCTGGCTCTTTCCGATACGGACTTCCACACGGGGCGCGGTTGAACAAGCAGAGCAACCTCAGAAGATCTGTAAACACACCGACGAAGCTACTCGGCCAATCGTGACCGCGAGGCGGTCTTAAACCAGTCCGCCGCGGCAGAATTTCCATCATGAGCGACTCAGAATTGTTGGACCGAACCTGTTTGAACTTGATGCTGCCCAATCTCAGCGGCAAGTGGAGGTCCGCGACCGGCGGCGGGCGGGCGCCTGTTGCCCCCGAGCTCCTTGTAAGTGCCATCTTGGTGAGACTAAACGCCCTGGTGGATGAATGGATGAGAATGGTCTGCTCCATGGCGAGGGACGACGTGCCCTGCAAGTCTGTTGACGGTCCCACTGCCAAAGCCACGGTGAAACTTGACCCTATCAGGGGAGACAAAAGCGTTCCATGAGATGGCTGACTGAGATGGCGGAGTTGTCTGTGTCGCTGTGATACTTTTGCTATCACGGGCGGGGGCAGTGTTGACATTTGCCCTTCGCCAGAGCCAAGCCCCCTGAAGCCGGCAAACAAAGGCAAAGGCCGTGCCCGACGAATTACCCATTGTGCTGTTTCGGCTCATCCTCTCCCCAGAGAATAGAAAAATATGGCAAGAGGTACAGCAGTCTAGACATGCCGAGTCAAACGTCAGCATGGGCTTTCATCCGGGAACTGCTTCATCCGTCTGCTTACCATGGCAAGGGCCAACCACCCCCAAAAGCAATTCCTCGTCACACTCGGCCCGGAAGGTATGCGAGGTAACTCCAGAGAAGGGGACAAGGCTGGCATCTCTGTCCACAGAGAAAGAACAGCCACAGTCTGGTAAGCTGCGGGCTTGGCAAGACCCCCAAGTCGAGCAAGCCGGTACTCATCATTCTCCGCAGATTCGACGAAGATGCCCTTTCCGTAGTATTGACCCGGGTGGCCAGGCGGCCTCCCATAACGGTGATCCGAGTGGTTTCGGCCTCAGTCAGAAATTGGCCGGTTTCAATTCGAGGACGAGAAGATCGGTGAGGAGAGCCGATGCCGGCAATACTGCCAATGGGGCGAGCATTGCTCCCCTTGTGAATGTTCATGGAATCACTGACCACTGACGGAGTGGCAAAGGCAATGGGCCCGCATGCTCAGGGAGTTCCAAAATGACAAGTCTAAGCATCCCAACTTTGACGATGCGAGGAGTCTCGAATCGAGAACTCCAGAACCCTGGAAACGGCGGGACAGGCATGATCAGTGCGGACGACGTAGCTTAAGTATGTGTGCCGGACACCAAAGCCATGTTTCATCAACGAGGGGCTGAAGACGCCGCGCTTAGGAATAGACCGAAACCTTTCCACAAAGCTCTCGCCCAGGTCAACTCTTGTACGCTGACATTTTCGCTGTAACAACGAGACGCTTCAAGCCGTGTCGCCCACCATGATACCAAAAAGGGCCCTGACAGGCAATGGGACATTGAGAAGGTTCAATTTTCGTCCGAATTGGCGTTCAGTAATGTTCAGGTAAGCATGCCTTGCAGCTCTGCGGAGGTCAGACGGGCGCACATGAGCCCGAAGAAAGCCCAAGTGGTGACCTGCCCCGCGGAAAATGGCGCCAAAAGGGCCCGCACGCGCCCTTCGCTCACTAATGGCAACGTTGTTGAACTCTTTTTCCGTTACCGAAGTGTGGTGTACGAGGCTGAGCTGGGCGCCCGAGTGGCCGAGGCAAGGCTAGGACTGAGTGTAACTGCGACTGTTGCTCGATCCCACTGTCTGGTGCTGAATCCCAGCCCTCCCCACGCCGAATTCCCCGCCATACACAGTAATGAAGCCTGAAAGTTGCGACTTTCAACCATACGGTGTCGTGTCGTGCTATCGTCAGAGTCGAATTGAGGGCAGCGCAGAGAATCAAGGAAGACGGAAGCCGTTAAGAATGACTGGTTAGTTGGTTACAATTCTGAGCAGAATAGGAGCGTTTGAATGAAAGCTCCACGTAAAAACCTTGAACCTTAGGGGAGCCTGTTGTTGCAATGTCTTGACTCTTTACGATACTACCGATTTGGTGGTGTGGTGTTGCCCCGGCTGAAAATCTTGGCCCCGACGGCGATCAGTTGCAGGGGCTGGCGACTGGAGGAGGCCCGTGCGTTATCTGACTTTTTGATTCAGCACGCCGCACGAGCCGGCATTCCCCCCCTGGCAAGCGCATCGACGTCATTGCTGATTTGCAGACGAACCTGGCCAACTTTGCGGCCGCAGGCATATTTCAAGAATCACCAGTTGCAGGTTCCCTTATTGAGGCCATGCGTGGTCTCTCTGGGAGGCATACAACATTGTGTCAGAGGCATATAGCTAGTCAACACGTCAGTCCACTGTGATCCCGCCCACCTTCCCATAGAGGTAGCTTTTCGTTGCTGATCACCACACCGCTGTCCTTGGCGAAGCCGCCGGCTTGAAAAGAAGCTTCTTGCTTTATTTCTGGGGCAGCCACCAACTCCAAGAAACTCATCAGCGTCGACTTGAGCACTCCTGGAGAGACAAACACAGAAGAACAAGCCGCAACACACTGTCGCCCGTGCTATCAAGTCTCTGCCGCCTATATCCAAGCCGCTTGAACGGCAACTCCACCTACCTCAACCACAAAAATGGCAATCGCCGGTCTATCGCTGGGCTACCTTCTCTTCACCCTTCTACATTTCGCCCAGTTCGTGCTCGCTGTCACTGTCTGCGCGCTCTATGGCATCGATCTCGACCGCGCCCGGAAGGGCAACGTGCACGCCGATGGGAGATGGGTCTACGCCGAGGTGGTCGGTGGTCTCTCGGCCCTGACGAGCATCCTCTACTGCATCCCCTCCATCCTCAGGTTTGCGCTGGTTTGGGCATGGAACCTGGTCCTCTTCATTCTCTGGATCGCGCTCTTCGGCGTCTTTGGCAAGGTAAAGTTTCGCTACGAACAAACGCCGTCGCATATCCGTGGGACGAGCGGCTGACAGTTTGATGCAGATGTACATCAATGAAGACGCGAAAGGAAACGGCGACATCCAGCGCATGAGGAACGCCGTATGGGTTGTCCTTACCAGCGCTCTCTTGTGGCTCGTCGGTGTTCTGGCCCATTTCATCTACTGGTGGGGCCACAGAGAACGCCGTTCTCGTTTCACTAGTCGTGCGAGGGTCTAAGATGTTTGTGTGGTCGGTTACGGATTATTGATACCCGGAAAGATGGACGTGTAGCACTCGGTTGCGAAGATACCCTGCGGCAAAGGTTTGACGGGAGTTAAGTGATGATATCATGGTACGTTGCGTCAATACATTTCTAGTGTAGTATAGTAGTATACCCAGTTTATTATGAAATACCTAAGTTCTCCAGGGTCTTAATAGCCTGCTTCCAGTACTGCGTTTGGCCTGGCGACGAAGGTTTCGTCCGTCCAACAGGACGCATGGGGTTAGGTTGAGAAAGCACAGTACCGTCTTTCTTACTCCTGCTTTTCATATTCTCTTTCTTTTTCTTATTTCTATAATTCTTCATTTTTCGTTCTTTTCTGTTCTTTTCTTATTAGTTTCTTTCCTTTCTACATACTTTTTTTGCCATTTTCATACTTTTCTTCGCCTTTTGTTTCCCCTTCCATTTTCTAACTGGGCCCGCCATGTGCCCCGCTAACAGACAATCAGGGTCAGATGTGGAGCGCCAGACCACCACAGTGTGGATACAAGTGCTGTGACGTCATATGCCCAGACTGCACATTGCCAGGAGACATGTAGCTTGAATTCCACCGAGCAACGGCTTCCCTGGCGAAATATCGATATATGTGCCTACAGAGTGCTTTCCAGCCGTTACAGGCTGGATGGGCTCCACGACCCCTGGATTAGGAGACATGAGCCTCTTGACGAAGAATCGATTTGGAGGCAACCGCCCGATCACTGCTGTGGACACCGAACCACGCCCGCAATAACTCTACACGTGTACAGACGGACCCGCTTCAGTAAACTGCTGCCGATGGAGGTCCGGGACTCTTATATGATCTGTCTCTCTTGGTACCACCGCTCCTCGTAGTACCGCCTAGTGAAGCGTACTTGACGCTTGAGTCATTTCTCCCCCGACACATCCTCAACGATAGCTTAACAGCTTGTCGCCACTCGTGTCGTTGAAAGTTGCTTGGCGACGCGGCAGCCGTTGCAACACAGCACCCGCTTTGTTCTGCCTTCTTGTAGAAGAGGCACATTCAAAAGTGAGCAACCTTGTGCGCTGGTTTCACTTGTAAACCCCCCCACACCAAGCCCCCTACAGTTGTATGCGGGAACAATCCTGCATTCCCGTATGCTCATTATGCCGGGAAGGGTAAGGAGGAGCGGCTCTGCTGCTTGGAAGTTCACGGATTGCTGCAACCTCAACTTGATGGTCACCCGGTGTCGTACGATTTTGTGTCGATCAGCATCCAGTTGTCTGTTTTCGCCAGGATGGGGTACTCAGCAAGGGGCTGACGATGCGATTACCGCGCGGAGTTGAGGCGAACACCATAGTTCACTCACAGGACTTTGATCTGATGCGAAATTTGACAACGAAGGCGTCGATAGGATGGATCATGAGTGTCTCTGTCGAGGTCAAAACCGGGCTTTGTGTCTGTCATGTGGATCTGATTACGGCTCTCGGCACGTCTGTTTCGGACGGCAACCGACCGGCAAGGCAGGATAACTTAAAGCTCGTGCCATATATTGACTGTCAGTTTCCAATTGGCTCGGACTCGCACCCTCAAGAGCGCCACAGAGACCCCCGCAGCTTCACGGCCAAGGGAGCCCAACCACCAGTGAGCTGCCGAAGTTACTTCATGTAGCTTCGAAGATCAGCCAGGACCCTGGGTACATGCAGCTGGTGTCCCGGGGTTGGTGGTGTTTGGTGGGGCAGACGACATCGTGCAGTGATCCGATCATCCGTCCCCAGGCGTATCGAGAAGGCAGTGTGGAATACATATTAATGCAGCCCAATGCTTCCAAACATGGCCGCAGGGTTTGAACTTTCCAGCTCCACGTTTCAGACCGCCTCCGGCCATGCAGCTTCAACCCATCTCCCTTGACCAGCGACCCGCCATCACCTGGCTAACCTCCCTACAACAGCAATTGCCAGCCCAAGCAAACTGGCAGCAGTTCTGCCGAATCTGCACATTGCTTCGGCTTCTACCTTTGCGCTGGTGTCATTTGGGGCTTCTCGGAGACATGTATAAACGACGGGGCAGATGATCAAAGCCCCTGCTGACTGGACGAACCGCCATTAAGACGAACCGTTTCAGCCCTCAAGCTGCTCGCCCGTCCATTCCTCTACGTTCCGCATGGTCATTCACTCTCCAGCTTCCTCCGGCCGCTGTCGATCGAACGTCCATAACTTCAAGAGCTGGTACGTAAGATAAACCGCCCTATAGTTTTCATAGTCTACCCGGAGCTCTCAAAGCTGTGAACATGTTGCTTGTTTGACGTTGGCGTCATGCTATCGATAGTATTGACCAAAGCTGACCGCCAGTTTCGTGTCACCGGTCAAACCTTCCCTCATACTGCTCAGCGTCTTGCATACGCTGCCAAGATGCAATCAGGAGTTTTTTCTGTTTTCTGTTACTCTCCAAGTCCCTTCTCCTCCGATCTTCGACGTAGTGGGCTGAACTCGTTTCGTTCCAGGGCCCACAACCCAGTTCCGTTGCTGGCCTTGGCCTCGATTCCACCATGCAGAGGCGCAATCATTCTCTGCGACTCCCGTTGCCGGCTCGCAGGCCCGCCATTCTTCGGCGAAATGCCTCCAGCTCGTCCGAAGCCTCGCATGCATCGCATGCTTCCCCTCGATCGCTTGGCTCCGAGGACCAGTTCGTATTCTCTCCAGCCCACACTCCTTCGACCGAGAACCCGTCATCTCGGGTCAGGGTCCAGCGGTATACGACGGACCCCTCAGTTGTCAGCACCTTGCTCATGGGCAGAGGTACGTGCTTGTTGACCCCTTTGGATTTTCACTTTCAGTTGTCGGTGATACACCGGCTCGCTTGCTGCCGCATCTGCAGCCTGGTCGTGAGACACCTCAGACCGACGAGCGCTTGAGCCTTGGTGACGAAAGTGGGATGAGACAGCACCGTAGGGCTGCCGTCAGGTGCCTCCACCATTGCAGTGGACCTCGCCTGTGGAGAACCCCACAACGGCCCTACTGTAGTGTACGGATACACGACCCTGAAATGACAGGGGTTGAGGTTGCTCTCAAACACTGCGTCATCGGATGCCGGCGCGGCCGGGACCGCTCATTCCAACCTGGGAGCTCCACGGGCAGCTCGTTCTCAAACTCTCGTTTCACAACCGACACTGATTTCCTGCGTCCACTAGAAGTCATTCCCCGTCCCCGAGACTCGGAGACCATTCCGACCACCGCAAATCATCTGCGAATAACACCAAGCAGCAGAAGTCGGCCAATTCCCATCCAAGCTCCTAGAGTCTGCGGGTCTGGGCCGACTCCCACAGCTGCTTCCATCCCGCCAGAACCTCTGTCAGCAAGAGGCGATCGTCCTGGGTACGTCTGTCTCTCTCTCTCTTCGTTCATCTACTTCTGAGTAAACAGAGTTCTTGACTGCTAGTCTAACCCACAGTCTTTCCACAGGGGTTACTTTCCTCTTCACGAGGATCCCAAGTCCCGTGTCCATATCCCCCACCCTTTCCATCTCGACAGCGAAATGGCTCGGAAAAACTCTCTGCGCCGGGCCGCCGAATTCAGCAAGTCAGGCGCGAACTCAAAACCATCTCCGCCTGTCAACGCTTTTGGATCTGCCGAACCCCCCTTACAGGGCCAGCCGAGTGGCTCAGATACCGCCGACACCCCAATCTCATCGTACATACCGAGCGGCCACCACGAGGATGTGGTCCTCCTTATGGGGAAGTACTACCCTTCCAACTGGGAAAAAAGGCATGGAAAGGCGCCACAAGACCGACCATCGGCCATGACGCAGCCCAATGCTTCCGTCATCCGGTCCGAGCCGCAGATCCCAAGGTACCAGGGCGGCCAAGGGCACCACCGGCGGGGCTCCGACGTCAAGCGCCGACTGCAACAGTACCAGAGGGATATGGTGGCACAAGCCGCCATGGCCGCTAGTGCTCTTATTGCCAGCAGCGGGTCTGCTCATTCGGCGGCCGCGGCGTCCCTCAGCGGAGTGTCGCTGCCAAAAGTGCAGCTCGCCGCAAATTTTCTCAAAACCCACAAGCCACTCTCGCCCAAGTTACGTCCTGTCGGTAGTCCTGGCCCGGTCACGCCCATGTCGCTTGAAGCCGAGAGCTATTTGAGTCTTAGGTCGCCCGCGGGTGGCATGGATGCGGAATCGCCAGAGGATGGGAATGGGGACCGGGAAAGCAGGAGGAAGCAATGGAGAAAGGATCCTGTGTCCTCACCCCTCGAGCTGAGCGCTGTCTCGGTTTAGATGCGGCTCTCCATGGTGGGTCTTGCAGCTGTGGAGTTTGCAACGGGATACCACTTTATTTGTCCTCATACAATATGATACCCCTAACTAGACCGGACGGACCAAGGCTATGGCCAGAAATCGGATTCAGGCGCGGTGATAGTAATACTCTAGACATTTCTCTGGCAATTCGCTGTTATCTTCTGGGCCTGTCTCCGACTGATATCCCCTGTTCGTCAGGGACATAAGGTAGCCAAGGTACGTACGCCTTGGGCGCGGCGTGCCTCACAGGACGCGATGAGAACAGTAACGGCATGGGTTATGCAAAGGTGGGGAAATGACCGAGGAGATCTCCATCGAGGAGAAGCGAGAATATATAACAGTATGACTAATAATCAAATCGTTTACAGTTGAAAAGGTGGGCATACAAGCCTACTTAGATGCGTAGCTGCACCGCTTCTTGCCCAAAGCGCTGCCTGCAGAGTAATCACACACATCCAGCTATCTCCTCAAACCGAGATCCGCACATCCAATATTTTCCCCATCACTTTTTCCCCCTCAAGCCGAAATACCAGAGTCTAAATCTCCTTCATACCAACGAAAGGAGGGAGTCGACTTTTGCTTATGCAACCGGCTTACAATAGTTAGCTGGGAAGTTGCCGGTGACTCCTTCCAACTCGCCGACCCACCTAAAACGAAGAGAGGCCAGTCAGCGTTGTCGTTTGGAACTTTCCCTTCTCACCGTCTCTGCCGTCCCGAGGGAGAGAATGTGGATACGTACCAATCTTGGTCTGTCTCGGTCCTCTTGACCACCCTGATCCGAGCCCCCTCGCCAAAGGAAAGGTCGCTAACCCCTTGGCCCGTGAAGGGATACTGCGCGACGACCCACTGGTCGGGCTTGGTCGTCGCGACACGCTTAGGGGGGGGCGGGGGCGGCGGCTTTTTCTTCCCGAGTCCGTTGGTAAACTGGGCACGGGCCGATGGTGCAGCAGGTTCAACTGCGTTGAAATATTCTCGTTGCGTCAGTGTGCCGCTGGGGCGGTTTACTGGTGCCCCGCTGAGAATCGTGGCCGTCGTGAACTCTGTGGCATTGGAGTAATCAGGTCGGTTGTAGGATGGGGACGGGGCCGGGGTGTGGTCCTCAACCGGGCCAGACGGGGCTCGGAGCGTCCGTGGCTTGGGACCGGGTATGAGGCCTGAGGTGGTGCGACGGACTCCGCCCATAAAGGCATTCGAGTTTGAAGCCGCCAGGTTTCCGGTGCTCATGGATGGTCTGACTGCTTTGCCGCGAGCCAAGAAGCAAACGGACTCGACGTGGCTGCGAATTGGACTGAATGCTCCGTTCCAGGTGGCAATAACGTCTTCCATTGGGGGAGGCGGTGACGGAAACCCAAACTCCTCACAGTAACCGTGCAACGCCGTGTAATACAGGCCAAGGAGCCTGTTTTGGATCAGGATGAGGTTGGAGAGCAAAGGGGGGACCAGGTCGAATGACGCCCTGATGATGGGCGGCAAAGTCGCTCTCAAGTGCTCATCAGCAATCCTGAATTCCTGCCCGCGTGGTTAGTCCTGCTGGGACCTCAATTTCGCCATGAAGCACAGAGTTCAATCCTCACATCAGAAGCCCGTGAAAACTCGGCGTCAGCTTTTGCCAAGGCAGCGTCCTCTTTGGGGGTTCGACCTGGTTTTCTCCGGAGCTTCTCTGCCTTATCCTGTGACTTCTCGTAGTCCAATCTCCTGTCCTCGCGTTTCTTCATGGTCTTGCGGATGGGGGCAATGCAGTCTCGGGCACCGGTCGCCGGTTTCAACACGTGGCCCTCAATTAGAGTAATCTCCTCTGCCAGTTCCGCCTTCAGGTCCGTGTACGCCTTCCTAAGGCTGAATGTGCGCTGCAATTGGAGCTCCGGAGTCTGGACGGTTTCGCGTGCGGTTTGGCCATCGGCAGCACCGACAACAGGATCGTAGAGAGCTTCGTATTCAGCAACAACTTGCAATTGGGTGCTGGCGATGGCAGCCCAGGAGTCCCTCCACATTCTCGCGTTCTCAATGAGCTATATGGAAGCAGAGTTAGCTGGGTTGTCATTGGAGCAATCTCGTCATGTCAACTGCTAAGCAAGCATTCCTTACCTGGGCGAGAACCGCGTCGGCATCCTCGTAATCCTTAAGCAGAACCGCGACTTTGGCATTGTCTCCCGGACATTTGTTCCAGAGTTTGCCAAACTGCCTCTGCATCGACTGCATCCTGAAACCGCGATGAAAGTGAGTTCCTGGCTCCTGGTAGGCTAAACTAAATAAAATGAGTATGGCCCTGAAAGAGAGAAAGTCGATAGGCGCATCACACCATGTTGGAAATAAGATTGTATAGAGTCGATCAAAGGGTCGGATAAACCCAGGATGCTTATGCACGAAGGATGGGAGAGGAAAAAAGCAAAAAGGGAAATAAAATGAGCGATCGGTCGAAAGGTTGCATCACTGGGCTGCATGCATGTTAGCGGCGGCACAGGGAACGTTCAATACTCGGGCATTGCACGGAGCAAGAGATGGGCAAACTCTCGTAGAGAGGGTCCTCAAAAATGCCACGCAACCAATTCCTGGTCGTTTATTCGTTGGTACAGACGGATGTTACACTGGCCTGTCGCCTCCCCATCCAGAGGGACGGTCGCCGGACATTGTTGGGGGTCTCGGGGACTAAAACATCACAACCAACAAGGCAGCGACCAACCTATGACAAGGGTGCAGCCCCTCCTGTGGGCTTCGTCAGTCTAGCCAATCATGTCCGGTGGCAGCTCAGAATGGGAAGGTGGGGGGCGGAGATCAGGTGACCGCGCGGAGCAGGCAGCGCGTCTCTTGAAATGGGTTCGCGTTTTCATCGACATCAACAAAACCCATTCGATAGGCGATTGCGCGGCAACGTGGAAAACGACATCTCGTCTCGAAACCCACTGAAATTGCGTTCCGAAGCAATTATATGAAATGCGATGACACAAGGATACCGAAACGATGTCGATGGTATCCTCCGGGTTGGTCTCGACTGGGCCATCGGACCTGAGGAGCGGGGGACGCAGCGCGCCGGTCCTCGAATTCGTCTGCCTGTTTACGTACGATCTCCGGAGAAAGCAAAAGAGATGGGAGGATGGCCGCATCAAATACCACACCTTCAACAAGCGTGTCATGGTCTACGATGAGCGCGGCAACTTCGTCGGAGACATGCATTGGACGCGCGAATCAGACTTTGACGAAGGCGAAGAGGTCCAGCTGGAGCGCGGCGGAGTCATTGTTCAGGTTGCTGAGTGCGTCGGCCGCCAGGAGCAGGATCTGTCCGAGCTGCTGGACAGGAGGGCGAACGAGAAGGAACGGCGTCGGTCACGAGTTGCCATGCGCCCGCCCTTGTCTGCCGCAACACCGAACAATCCTATTGCCGGAGCCGGCGTACGAGAGCACTTCCAGACCCGACATCGACCCCTGACCCAGCTTCTTACCCCAACCGGCCACCACGGCCGGGCTGTGGTACCTGTTGAGTCTCCTTATGAGCTTCGACAGATGGCCGATGAGAATCCCAGCAGTCGCCCTGATCCAGGTTCTTCAAAGAGGAGGAAACTCGACGTCACGCCTCCGAGCAAAAAGACCTACGCTCAAAACTTGTTTGGTGCCACCTTGACCTTGTCCGCTGTGCCCGTTAGCTCAGCTCCTCGGGGGGTTCCCGGTCCGTTACCTCGAGTGCAGCCAGCGACAACTTTGCCTCAGGAAGAAGATATTTCCCACAGTATAGACGTTGATTCTCTGCGTGAGGACCGGGGCTCATCTGCTGCATCTGGCATCCACCGGGAATCTTCGAGTGCTGGGGCTGTTGCCACTCGGTTAAGGGCATTCCCAGCACACCCCCGGCAGTCTGTAGTAGAAGATCAAGAGCAACCCGAGACCACATCAATGACGCTGAGTCACCCGAATCAGAACAAAGCGAATTCAAATTCTCGAGCCAGCAACCCACGAGCAGCGGTTACAAACGGTTTCCGTCCATCTCCGCTTACCAGTACCAAATCTAGAGTGGTCGCCGACAAACTGACAACAGCCGGGAACTCACACCAACCTCCCTTGACACATCTTGCGGGGGCTAGCACCGATGCTAAACGTTCTGTCGGCTTAAAGCTGGGGGCCTCGCTCTTACAAGCCGTTGAGTTGGACGACGAGCGACGGTTTTCCGGACGCCAGGACAAGCCAGGCGTTGCACACGAATCAGAAAATGCCGCTCCAGAGCCTCCAAAGCAACAGCGGACGACGCGCAAAAGGTTACCACAACCGACAGCTTCGGATGTTGAATCAATGACTACAGGAACGCGGGTCAAGGATGCCCAAGAACACCCGACGGAGGAAAGGACGGAATTGCGGCTCAAGCCTCGTCAAAAGCGCGGCCTCCTGCTCCTGTCCGAAAAGAAAAGCAAGACAAGTCAGCTCAAAGCGCAGGACGGACTCGCCAGCGGACAAACCCGGACCAGCGAATCTCCAGAAGAGCTCACGAGCACCCCAGCTACGGAGTCGAGCGGCCATTCCAACTTAGTTGAGAAGCTCCCGTTTGGGAAACAGGATGATCCCTTTGCCTGCTCACCCGCCGGCCCTGGAGATCCTGGTTCACTGTCACCGAGGCCTAATGGGTACCAAAGCGCTCCTCTTTCAGATGACGGCAGGGAAGAAAGCTCAGAGTTCATCTCGCATCAGGCCATCGCCACTCTAAGCAGCCAGATACGGCGGTCCCAGAAACCTCTAGATTTGACAGAGGAAACTCGCGGTAACGGGAGCAGCGCGAAGGATAAAATCGCGGACCGGCCGCCCTCCCCACGAGGCAGGAGGCTAAGATCACGAGCTCAGGGTTCCGGAAAAGCCCGTGGTGAGCCGAGTGAGCCGTTGAATTTGGAATCCAAAGAGACTCTGGCCGGTTTTGGTTCCGAATTCATACCCTCGAAATTCTCACGTCAGACTCGGGCTACCGAGGAATTGGGTGACGAGGAGTCGAGCCGCGTAGGGAAGAGAGCGCGGAGAGTAAACCCGGACGACAGTGCCAGTAACGAGCTGCCTCAGGCTCAGGTTAGACCGCATCTCGCCAGATTGAGCCGGAAGAGCGTGAGGAGCAGGGAGCTCATCGGTTTTGTGCCTCGTGGCCCAGACCACTTCATGAACTCAGGGCTGCCAAATTTCGGCGCTAAGGGCTTCAAGCTCATAAGGGATAACGATACGGCGGGAACCGGCAACGTCCTGGAATCTACAAGCATCGACGCGCCGTTGTCAAACCGGGTGCAGTCTCGTGTGGAAGCACAACCTGTCGGGCGGATGCCTCAACCCGCCTTGCCGTCAACGGTCGTGTCACAGGTGGCTCCGCCGGCTCTTCAGCGACACAACTCCCTACCCAACGGTAGGATGGGGGAAGGGTCGGTCAAAGTATCAAGTAAGGTTGCTCCCCCCACGCCGCAGCTTGATGGCCCCCCCAGACCTCGCAGTCTCGCGCGCCACGTATCTGCCGTCTTTCCGCCAAATGGCCAAATGGACCGGAGCGCAACTGAGAATTCCTCTCTACCTGGACCCAAAAACATCGCGTTACCCAGAGAGGAAACAGCTCTGGAGGTCACGGTGTCAGAGACCGCCAACCCACAAAGACCATGTGCAGCGGACAGCGTGACGCTGCGGTCACCATCACACAACTCCCCGCCCAACATTTCGGAACAGCAAGCGGACCAAATGAACGACGAGTCTGATATTGCGCTTGACGCATGTCTAACCGACGGCGTCAACAAGCAATTTGCGGATGCGCCACCGCCCGATCCTTCCCAGCCCCGGATCGTGAACCCCGCGACACGAGGCCGTAAGGCTGCATTGAAGTCTCATGCGGCAGGCCAGGTGCCTCAATTCATCCTACCAGTCGACAACACCACTGTCGTCTTGGGTGTGCGGCCACCTGCAATGCCGCGGCCGGACCCCGCCCTCAGTGAGCACCCGAAACGGACCATGAGATTTCCTGGCTTTAGTTCGGCGAGAGGAGGCGGGCCGTGGAGTAGGGAGGCACACGATTTGCTGGAAAGTACCCGTCCTTGCTGAGGTTGAGTTTGAGCTTATCGGCGTCAACATACCCACCTTGCGAGCACCTCGGCTCGTCGCTGGCACGTGGCACAAGCTGTCAAGTCACGCCAAACTGCGACGCTCTGAGCCGTTGTCTCTTACTGCTACATGGCTTGGAGGGGATTGGGAAAATCCTGTACACTGAGACTCTAAGCTTTTCATTGCTTAACAGGAGCCTTGAACAGGCGGTCAGCTGATCCAACTACATGAAAGGACACGGCAGGGGACATTCAGCAGTTTTGCGCATCTCGCGGTCAACAAAGGACCGCCAACGAGCCAAACGGTTGGGACGACGCGCCGCAGGTCCCTGCTACTCGGCGGTAATCCGGATGGATCTCAGTACCACCTTGCTGCGTTGATAATGAAATTAGTGTATGGTACATACCTGGGCGCGGGCAGAGCTGGGCAAGGATGCAGCGAGGCGCTCTCCACCCCGTTCTTACGGAAGCCCTCATTGCCTGTCGCCCGGATCGTGGTACAGCAGGACCAAATGCCCGTTCCATGCACGAGGGAGATGCCCCATGGGGCGACCATTCCTACAGCATTTCGACTTATTGACACCCTTCGTCTCGTGGGGCAGGAGAAGTGTGGAAGGACAACCATAACGGCGCCCGGGGCCTGATGTGAGTCTCCTAAGGAGAGGCTCCAATCGGAGGAGGTCCCATGAATTGCAGTGTGGGTGTGTAACACAGCCGCAAGGTCTTTGTGTGGCGGTTCCAAACCTTTGGAGGGATTGTTCCGCTTCCAAGCCATCATTGATGTCTCCCTTCTTTCTGGAAGCTTTTGAGAGTTGGTGGAGGTAGCAACGTAGGACTGTGCTGAACATTCGCAAAACCTTCCTGGGGTGAACCGGGCGTGTCGATCATGGGCATGGCGACTCCTTGGTGCAGAAACATAGCGGAAGGTGAACAAGGGTGTTGGGCCTCGCTTCTGCAGGACATGCTGCTGCCAAACCCCGGGTTCCTCAGCCCTACGGACAACGGGTGCTATCGAACCCCTCCATCCCCATTGCCAGACTAACGCCGTAAAGATCTGTGGTAACTACAGGTAGTGCCGGTGAATTGCACACATACCCCACCATAGATTTTCTCCGCTGAGGGGGATTGCGCCCTGATCAGCAGGTACCTCAGCACCGGATAACTGTCGGTCTCATAGGACTGACGGTTGGGATCTGCTTGTTGAATTTCTGATCTGAAACCTGATATTTTCCCGAAAATGAAACGACAAGAATGTCCGAAGTCTGACGATTCAAGCGCATCGTCAGTGATACAGGATCGAGCCCGTTGACCTGCCTCGACATCGGCAGTCTGGTCATAATGCGTGGCCGCCCATCCAGCCTGGGCAGGGTCCCATGAGCTCGGGCCGCATGACCCCAGCCCCCTGGACACCGTTCAAAAGATGGGGCAATTCTCGAATTCAATGCCAGTTGGTGCGCGAACTGCAGCGGTCGCCCACCCATACCTGACCCGAGCTACAGTACTGTACGGATGTAATGTGCATGAAAGATGGCATCTGCTGCGACTTGCACATATGTCATGAGTCTCTACAACTCGTTGACGCTGGCCGGCCATATAAACCCTACGACTTACTCCGGCGAGCTTTTGAGGCACGAGACTAGGTACTCCGTCATCAAAGCAGCCTTTTCGCCTGGGTTTGCCTCGTAAGCTTTACTGTGTAGGCACCGCTGAACCTATGTCCGGCCCTTGTTGCCTGTTTGGTAGATCAGAAAATCGCCCGCTGTTCCTTTGATGTTTCTGTCTGGGTTGCTCCTATGCTTTGGGCATGCAGTGAGTTATGTGGCGTTTATTTCCTCGCAGAAACTGAATGCGAAACTGAATGCGAAACTGAACGCTACTGTGTGTCCTCGTGCTCCTTCGCGCCGCAGGCTCACAATACCGGGACGTCACTGCTGGCCCCGTCGGCGGCTGCGCATCTGCGGGACGAGGCTGTTCGGGGCTTTGCCTACGCCTAATCTATAAGAACCTAGGGACTGCTACAAAAGGCCCACTTGTCTACCCTTCAGTCGACTTTATGTTCGCTGAATGTTCCGAACGTCGCATCTTCGATACGGACCGGAGCCACCATCGCTCCCTTTGCTGCTCATCCGCTATTTACGCCTTCACTCAGCCTAATACCTGGTGACCTTTGCCATGGCATCCCAAGGCTCCAAAAATGGCGTGGCGCTTCAGCGACCTACTCCGACTCGCGAGACTCAGGAGCTATACGACGCGATGCGGCGGGAGGAGGAACGTCTTACTCCCGAGTCCCTAAGCCAGATACCAGCTTGGGAAAATCGGTTTTCAGATCCGCTCTCCACTTCCCGGCCCTTGACTTCCCCCACTTCGCCCTCTTACGATACCCTCTCGCAAGCCACGGCGGAGACTGGTGTGTCCGATCCCCAGAGGGCAAAGAAACCACGGCCTGGCCGCAAGGGGCCTCTGCCACAGGCCAAGAAACTGCGGGCTGCTCTGCTGCGGAAGTTACGGGCCTGCGATGAGTGTCGGGAACGGAGAGTCAGGGTAAGAAGAATAACAGACCTTTACCACACTGCTTTGACGCTCTTACCGACCACTAGCTAGTGCGCCCACTTCGATTTCTCGCTGTTCGAAGACGCCTACCAAGCGTGCAAGCAGCAAGAGAACCGTCTCGTCGACGCCGACCCTCATGACACACGTGCCCGGTCGCAACGGCCCCGTCTCGGCGACGCGGCTGACCTCCTCGGCGTCGGGCTGGGACAGAGCCGGCCCCTCTACTCATCATCTGCCGTCGTCCCGTGGAGCGACAGTGCAGTGGACGAGGTGTCGCCCGACACCGACCCGCTGTGGAATCAGCAAAACCAGCTCCAACCTTATGTGACGTTTTCCAACTTCCAAGAGCCTGAGCCGCGCCACTTGTTCCCGGTCGTCCCGGCGTCGCGCTCCGTCACGGATCTCCCATTGTCGCGACAGACGGCGGGGGCGCTTCCGTCGTCGCGCTCCGCAACGAGTCTTCCGTCGTTGCGCCTCACCGCGGCGAATCTCCCAACGTCGCGGCCAGCCGATGCGCTTCCGCTGCCACCACGCAACAACATCGCGCTGGGAAAACAGCTCTCTGCGGGCAGCGACTGGTGGTTGTGCCTGTGGGGACACGGCGACCAACCCGCTTCATTGCGTGAGCCTGTGCCGGTGCCTTGCAACGGGCAATTTCGAGGCCTGGAGGCCCTAAAGACGCACTTTGGGCATGAGCATGGCGTCTTCTACCAGGATTGGCACCTGTGGAAATGCGTCGAGTGTGAGCTCGAGTTGTCGAAGCCGCCCGATCCGGGCCGCCCGTGCCCCATGTGCGGCCAGGCCGAGTCGTTAGGCTGGAACGCGTGGTATTATGCCCGGGTGTAAGTACTGCGGTTGCGTCGCGCGGTTGTTCGGGGAAGAGCCTGTGGCTGAGGATTGGGCGTGGCTTATTAGCCATGTCGTTGGTATTGATGTCGGTTGGGCTGTCCGCGCCGGGTTTCTGGGAAAGATGTAGGTATGGCATTAGAGATCAGGCCCGGCTGTCTATACTCGCTGGAGTGTAATGGTTTAATAGCTCGTGGGTTACTGACTTCGATCGAAGTTGATCATGCCTGGAGCGGTTTAATATATAGATAACGTGATCCACCATTGACTCGGACACATTTTCCCCCACCATAACCACCCAACGTCAACACGCGTTTTCTCTACCACAACAATGTCCGACAGCTTCCCAGAAAACCGAGTTCTTCTCGCGATCAATGCGATTCGATCAACACCGCGCTTGAGTATCCGACGCGCCGCAGAGATATACAATGTCCCCAAGTCGACAATTGCAGATAGAATGAAGGGAAAGATCGCGAAGTCCGACAGCTATCACGGCCGTTCGAATTTGACGAAGATCGAAGAGGAGGCGATTGTTCA